GCAGCTGCTCGGAACAGCTTCTTTCTTTCTTTTTCTTTTTTAAAAGGAGAGCCCAAACAGGCTTGGAATAGAACCACAGGGGGAGGAAGGGCGCCTGCCCCTCCCTGCCAAGCCATATTCCCATGTGTGTAAACCACACCAGGCCGGGGGGGAGGGGTGATGTGGCAAATCTGCGCATGTGGAACAGAAAATTCAGTGAAATAATTCTCCCAGCACAGTTTTTGTAACATGTATCTTAGCTTTCATTTCCCCCACAGTCACACGAGCTTTGGGGGAAAGGAATTGTTAAAGAGCAGAGGCCCTATCCTGGGCATGTGCAGCTCCAGAGTGGGGCAAATTACACCCCCCTGGGCTATTTTTAGCTCAGAAAAATAGTGCAGTGGGGAGGCAGAAGCCTTTCCTTCCCCAACTCCATCATTTTAGGAAAAGCCCTGACACGCTTTAAAAATTGCTTTCCCTGCAGCTGCTGTTTGATAGTGAGTTCCACAGACTCAGCTTGCCAAAATTTGCAACACGTACTTTGGCCATAAGCGTAGCTTTAATTCAGACTTCATTATAAAACCCATATCCTTCCTTCCTTCCTTCCTTCCTTCCTTCCTTCCTTCCTTCCTTCCTTCCTTCCTGTTTGTTTATTTTGTTGGACTTTGCCCTCCCTCCCCTGTAGAGCAGGCTTAGGGTGGGTTACAACAGTCTAAAATATACAAAGATTTAAAACAGAATGTAATTTTTAAAACAGTTACAATATAATATTAATATATATAATATAAAAAACCTTAAGAGGTGCCAGCGAAACAATTTAATGAATAGGATGAAATTCCATATTGTGCATCACTGCAGACTGAAACAAAACAAGGGAAGTGAGCGAGTGAGGAAGCAGCTATGGTGGACTATAGATGCTGCTGAGGCAGAGCTCAGCAGAGCAGAGCAGGGAAAGCCATTCTAGATGGATTGTTGCCGCCTCAACCATATGTATATTTACATACATAATTCACCAACTTTTATGTTCATGGAAAGTAAGAATGTTAATAGAAATGATTAAGGGATGTAACACACACACGCCTGTATATTTTTAATCACCAAAATTCCAGTATGACCAATAGGGTCTGCTATTATTTCTGGAACACTGCTATGCTAACATTATCAGTCTTCAGAGAGTGCAGCTTCAAAGCTAGAGACAGCATTCAACAAAAATGCCATCGATGGCCTCACCACTTTTTACGTTGCAAACAACAAAAGATGGCCATTACTTCATGCTCCGAGTCTGAGCTCTCGGAGTCATCTGGCTGGTTGCTCTTTGAAATAGGATGCTAAATTAGATGGGCTTCTGTCTGATCCAGCTGGTCCATTCATATATTTTAAATATCCTCTCAGTATATGTGTGACCCAGAGTATTTAGAGGTTTATCATTCAACAACACCTCAAGTTGGTCACAGTTGAGAAACTGGGGTGGACCAGTGCAGATCCTGGAGCATCTGAATCCGAGTCTGGCACTTGGGCCTCTGTGTTCCACGGCAGCTCTACTCTCTGCTGTTCTCATGATCAGAGTTTCCCCCCTCTCATTGGTGGTGCCACCATGTGGGCCCAATCCCTGAGCAACCTTTTGTTACATGCTCATGAGACAAGATTGACAGTGTAAATTCTAGGAAAAGTGGCAAGGGTTGAATTCCTCTATTGACAGATATGATTGGTTACCCCTTTCAAAAAAGCTTTAGCAGAAACTTGCCTTTCCTGGGGCAACCTTTGCTGCCCCTTTCTCACCCTCTCCTTCCCTCAGGCTCTCTCAGGGTGGAGTGCAGGAGGCCACCTGTTATTAACTCCCAGTCTATATAGCAAACTTTACATATATCTGGCAGCTAGTGTTTTTTTTAAAATACATATATAAAGGGTCACAATGTGAACTCTTTTATCCAAGGGCTCTCAGAGTTTTGGAAGATGAGAGAAAAAATATCTCAGCCAATGAAAGTAAGTGCCAAAGCCATCTGAATTATCTCTTTCCAAAATGGATCACCCCAGTGGAATGGACATGTACTCTTACTATGTTTATTCCCACCTTCACTTCCCTACCTTTGTCGTCTCCCCTGTGCTTATGGTTGCCAACTCCATGTTGGGGAATTTTTTGGAGATTGAGGAGTAGAGCCTAGGGAAGATGGGATCTTTAAAAGGGGAGGCACCTCAGCACGGGTGTTAAGCTATAGAGTCCACCCTCCAAAGCAGCTGTTTTCTCCCGAGGAACTGATTTCTGTCATCTAGAGATTGGTTGTAATTCTGGAAGATCTCTAGGCCCCAACTGGGGGTCAGCAGCCCTATATAAATTCTTCCATGTAGGGCTCAGGTTTCTTGTATTCTGTAGATCATCACACACATTGATGATTCTATATAAATAGTCCCTCTCCCAATGTAGAAATGCATTATAATCAGAATAGAACGGGATAGAATTGTATGTACAATTTGGTTCTGCAAAAGGCAAATCCTATGAAGTTTTTACAAAATTCCTCAAACTACCATTTCTTTACAAATTGCTGAAACGTATCTAGTGCTCGGGAAGCTGCGGTGGCTCAAGTGGTTAAGACGCTGAACTGCAGGCTGTGGAAGGTCGGTAGTTCAGCAGTTCAAGACCCGAGTGTGCCGCATGACGGAGTGAGCTCTCGTCTCTAGTTCCAGCTCCTGCCAACCTAGCAGTTCAAAAGCAAGAAATTGCAAGTAGATAAATAGGTACCACTTCAGTGGGAAGGTAACAGCATTCTGTGCGCCTTGGTGTTTAGTCATGGCGGCCACATGACCACAGAAACGTCTTCAGACAGCGCTGGCTCTTTGGCTTTGAAACGGAGATGAGCACCGCAACCCTAGAGTCGGACTCAACTGGCTTTCGAGCAAGGGAACCTTTACCTTTACCTTATCTAGTGCTCATTTTCCTCTGGTGGAAGAAGGGAGATTTTCACAGATTCTGCCCCATCCCTGCAGACCCCCAGATTGCATCCAGCACTCTTCCTGGGGTCCCCTTTACCCTGGAGGAGGAGAAGAAGAGATTGGATTTATACCCCGCCCTTCTCTTGGAGTCTCAGAGTGGCTTACAGTCTCGTTCCCTTCCCCTCCCCACAACAGATACTCTGTGAGGTAGGTGGGGCTGAGAGAGCTCTGAGAGAACCTCTCTTGAGAGAACAGCTCTGAGAGAACTGTTACTGACCCAAGATCACCCAGCTGGCTGCATGTGGAACAGTGGGGAATCAAACCTGGTTCTCCAGATTAGAGTCCACCACTCATAACCACTGCACCAAACTGGCACTTCAGGCAACTTTGTGGACTGCAGTGAAAAGGAGAGGGATCGACTTCTGTTTTGTAATTGGAGCTCAGGAGGGAAGGCAGCGTGGTATAACCTGCTGTCATCAGATCTCAGAAGCTAAGCAGGGTAGGATGGGAGACCACCAAGGAAGACACTGCAGAGGAAGGCAAGGGCAGGTCATCTCTGCTTCTCAAACGCCATGAAAGCTCCCTTGCTGAGGTCATCATCAGTCGGTTGTGATTTGATCGTACTTACATGCTTAGATATGTAACTGGAGCTGTGCTCACAGTTCATTGTGTTCAGCTAATTCAGATTTGTGCTAAAAGAAATGTTTCTTCAAAACTGTTTATCAACTGATTTGACAGGTAATTTCACACCTTTTTGAGAACTCTGAATTTGCATAAACTAGAAGGAGCAATTCCATTTTGTTTTAAACTAACTGTAATCTTTTTGGAAATTCTTTTGGTTCACTTTTTTAAAAAACTGGGCTTTGATAGATGAAGGTAGAATTTTAAAAATGTAAACCAATACATATGGTCCATAAGTGCTTTTTTGGGACATGTTACATTTCAGTGCTGTTCTTCAAGATGTTAACACATATTTCACTCCTAAACCAGCGCCTTCTGAATCAGATCAGAGCAACTCTAACCTTGATACCTTATCTCCACAAAGCTTTACTCAATGGATTTATACCATTAAATGATCTTGTTTTAAGTATGTGACCCTTATAAAAACATCCAGTGTTGCTTCATAATCTGCCTGTTCTTACAGATAATTCTTTTTCCCCTCCTTTGCCAACCTACTTGGCATCAAAGGATTCAAGTACAATAGCAAAACTATGATCCATATCCCTTGTTCTATTTCTGCACATTCTTCCACTCCGCCCCCAGACTAACCGTACTGCAAAAGTGTTGTTTCCCTCTCCTTTTGATAGCTTTGTTTATATTATACTTGCACCTCGAGGAGTTTATTTATTACCTGCCCCTGGAAACACCTTGATACTGCGTAGGACTGGTTGAACAGGAATAGTTGGTGCGATTATAATTAAAATAGGTCAAATTGTTGCATTTCTTCACTGTCCTTAGTTCCACAGCACATTTATTAAGCTGTATATCACAGCTGTAAAGATCCAGGACAGCAGTTCTGAAATGTTCACAATAAAGGTGGGTGGAAGCAGAGATCCACAAGCCACTGTAGCCAAACTTTGTGGGTTTCTAAAATATGAATTGGTTTTACCCCAACGCAGTATTTTGCAGTGCTGCACTTTGAGTTTATCACAGTACAATACTTGACAAGAGCATGCTGACTCACCCTTGCAGCAAACACTAGCCCCATGGTGAAACCATGGCAGAGAAAGGCCAAGTGACATGCCCAGGGCTAAATAGCAATGAAGTGGCAGAGCAATGATTACAACATGCCACTTCCTGACACGTGGCCATATGCACGTTTCTTCAGCTCACGCTTCGTCCCACATCATTACAAAGTAATTGACTTTTAAAAATCTATGCGGCCTGCAATGAGACCATGATGAAATCTCAAAACCGGCCCAGCCCTCCTTCTGCAGGCTGCTTAGAGAACGCAAAGAGGCGGGGTTTGGGGAAGAAAAAAAATTGCTTATTGGGCTGAAGGATAAAATGAGGTGCCTGTCTTACTGATGGCCTGATGGTGCTCGGTTCTCACTGTGGTTTTATTCCATTTCTTTTGGGGGGAAAGGATTTAGTAAGGCAAGGATGAATGAAGCCCGGCCACGTTATGTCATCAACCGCCCTGCTTATTCTATCAATGACTTTGATGAAGAATTTGAAAGGAAAAGTAGAAGTTACCCTCTTGGAGAGAAAATAAAGAATCTTTTCAGGTATGTAGAATGCTGTAGATTTTTGTTCTAAAGTAAACATACATAGTAGAATTGTTTATAGTTGATGGTGCACAGTTCAATAGAAGCTCATAATGAAATACTGTCAGTATATTTGTGTAAATCAAGGTGCAAACATGAACTTAGAGTGCAACCAGTGACTTCAGTGGCCTTAGAAGGGTGCATTAATCCAATAAACCTAGGAAGAAGCCTTTTCCAACAAAATTTTCCAACTGAATTTGCAACCCAAGGACAATCAACAAGCACTGGGCAGCAATGGACATCCAAACATCAGTGGGCATATACTGAGTTCTTCCTGATGGCCAGGAACCAATAAAGCAAAGCAAAGGAACTTTTATGAGTTACTCAGTAATGAGCTAGTCTGTTTCCACTGTCAAAACTGGGAGACAGATTAGAATTAACAAATTGTGGGGATAGGAGAAGACCAAAGAACACTGGGAATCAGAGAGGGGGAAAACGTTATTAGAGAACATAAAGGCAAATAAAGCAACAGGTTTATTGATTCACAGTCATCATTCCCTTCTAGTTGGTGGGTGTTGTTCCTAGAAAAAGCTTTTTTTTTCTGGAAGGAAAGAACAGCAACACTGATAAATACCTTCTAAGGAATCTGACTCAGTCTTCACATTAACAAAAGAATTTATTAGGAATGTTTTTAAAAGAACAAGGTAACAGTGAAAGGATGAACTAAATAAAGTGTTACCTAAGGACAAACATTCACTGTGATTAAAAATCCAGTTGTTGATCCTTTATTAAAAGGTAAAGGTTCCCTTGCTCGAAAGCCAGTCGAATCCGACTCTAGGGTTGCGGTGCTCATCTTCGTTTCAAAGCCGAAGAGCCAGCGCTGTCCGAAGATGTTTCCGTGGTCACGTGGCCAGCATGACCAAACACCAAGGTGCATGGAACGCTATTACCTTCCCACCGAAGTAGTACCTATTTATCTACTTGCAATTTCTTGCTTTCGAACTGCTAGGTTGGCAGTTCTTCAAAGCAAATTTAGGTTCATTTTATCCAGTGATATTCTTCATCATGTGCATACAAGCATATGCTCTGCCATAGAGCTATAATACCTCCTTATTAGGTAGGGGCTAATACAACAGTTCTTAATAGGGATTAAAATAGCTTCAGTGATACACCCTACATGAGTGTTTTCCCTGAATGCCATTTTATTTCTTCTTTATTAACCCCAGAGTGCTTAAAGAAATGAGATATAGTCCATGAAACAAAATAAAGGATGCAGGCTCTGCCCTTAAATTTACAATCTAATAGATAGATATGCAAGGGAAGGGAAGGAGAAGAGGAGGAATCAGAGGACTGAGATCAGTTTTTAAAACACCAGAATAAAGAGTTCTTATCAAACATTAAAATATGGAATGATTCATATGCCTTACAGAGAATATATGTGAATTATGTGTGAAAGTAATGTGCAGTAGCTTCTTGAGCCACAAGAACCCCTCTGGGACATGTGTGCTACACAGACCTTTTTGTAGACACCCACTGAATTACTCCACACTTCCTAAATGGAGGTAGTTAAAAGGAAAGGTCATTGCTGTGGAAAAGGGATCAGAGTTTTAAATTTCACCACATTTGTGAACTTGGTGTGTATTCCTTTGCCATATGAACATGTGAAGCTGCCTTATACTAAGGGTCAGATGTTTGGTCTACTAAGGTCAGTACTGCATATTTAAAAGGGGAGTAGCCTTCCAAAGTCTTCAGTAGAGGTCTTTCACATTACTTACTGCCTGATCCTTTTAAAACTGGAGGTGTAGGGATTGAACCCAGGAGCTTCTGTGTGCCAACCAGATGCTCAATCCCTGAGCCATTGCCCCACTCTACCAGACAGGACACATTCTCTATACAGTGGTGCTCACCAATAATTATACCTACAGCAAAGCTTCCTGTGGCCCTGTTGTACAACAGACATAGATGCTTAATTCAGCCCTCATTTTATACAGAAGAGTCTTATTATGGGGTCGGCCAAACACATGGCCAGATGCACGGTTTCCATAGTTACTTCCTGAGTTTCCCAATTTAGTAGACAATAAGGAGTGTCAAGATATTTAAAGTTATAATGATAAAATGTGCACACCATCGAATACTGGCACAGAAAAACAAACAACTGTCAATTAGGCACTGGCGATAGAACATTAGTGTTCTCAGCAATAAGTGTTTCTATTGCACTTCCAGGACAGCTATTTAACGTACTTATTCTCTAGATGTCGGCATCTTGAAGGCATAGCCAAGCAAGCATTAAGTGAGTAAACTGGACACAGTCGGGCTACACAGCAATTCTCATGTTGACTTTAGATTTGGGTGGCACCCAACATGACTGAATGGTCTCTTAAGAGGCAAGAGGTGTGGAAGCATGCCAAGGCAGCACTGCTCCCAGTCCCTGTGTGCCTTCGCAGGTGCTCAGAACAGTGTCAGCCAGGGCAGAAAAATTATAGTCGCTTTAAGAAAACTTCACCCAATGGCCAATATATGGGATATATTAAAGCTAGGTAGCATTACCAATCCTCATGGAGTATTAGTCATTACCGCCAGTTGCAAATGAATAACACCTTGTCTGGCATAAACCATAACAGTGAGCAGAAAAGTCTGTTCGCTGGAAGAGTGCATAGTAGAGATAATTAATGTTATATGGAAACTGCAAAGTTAACTGAGAGTGAATGCAAGTTCTATAAGCAGTTCAGAGAAAGATAGTACTGATTTGCACAAGGTCTGTGTATGGGGTGTGTGTGCTTATTATTTCAATCAGGAATGAAAAAAAAGCCTTGTTCCCATAATTTTGGTTGATGTACCATCACAAAGTTCCAGAAAGGTGACTGAGACATACTGGCTTGAACCCACAGTAGAAGCATTGCGTGATCACTTCACCAACATTTTGCTCAAAGGTTGTGAGAACGAAGTTTTTGATACACTGAAATGCATACAAAGGGCAGGCCAACCTTGTTGTTGTTCAGTCGCACAGTCGAGTCCGACTCTTCGCGACCCCATGGACCAGTTCACGCCAGGCCCTCCTGTCTTCCGCTGTCCTCTGAAGTTGGCTCCATTTTATGTTCGTTGCAGGCCAACCTTATCATACAGCTAAAAAGACCACATCTGTACTGGAATTTACACTGGGTTGCATCTTCCCAGCAACAATATAAAAACAGTTTGGAAGGAAAGTTGCAATTTAGCAATAAAGATGGCCTCTTTCAACTCCATTGCTATTCCATGAATCACAACATCACTCCTCATGACACCCCCCCCCAAATTAGCCATGCATTGAAGCTACCAATTGACATCTGGCAATACCATGAAGGCCATGATGACCTCACTTTCTCATTCCATGACTCTGAGCGTACTGCCATGAAGAGCCGTAACATCTCTTCCAGCACAGTTAACATCAGAGGGCCAGTTTGGTGTAGTGGTTAGGAGCGCGGACTCTAGTCTGGGAGAACTGGATTTGATTCCCCACTCCTCCACATACAGCTGCTGGTGCAACCTTGGGTCAGTCATAAGTTCTTTCAGAGCTGTTCTCTCAAGGGCAGTTCTTGAGAGAACTCTCTCAGCCCCACCTACTTCACGGGGTGTCTGTTGTGGGGAGAGGAAGGGAAAGGGATTGTAAGCCACTCTGAGACTCCTTTGGGTAGTGAAGGGCAGGGTATAAATCCAATCTCCTCTCCACTCCTCCTCTTCTCCTCATAGCCAAGTATTGCATGTCTGCAGCTGAGGATTCTAATCCACTGACAGCCCACAGGAACAGAATAATCGTTTGTCAGGGGGAACAGCCAGGCCCACAAAGCCATACTTCTGAGAGCCTCATGCATCCTAAGCATCTGTGGATTGCAAACAACCACTTTTTTTTCCAGGGAAAAAGGTAGGATCACTCAAAGATGGGAAGACTGCCAATCAGAACTGTCACCCTAAATCCATCACCAAGTGGCTAGGAGGACTGCCAATCACAACAATCAGCCTACCGCCATCACCCAGTTGTTTTACACAAAGAAGGCATGCCTCTGGGGAAAGGATCTAAATCTTATTACAGGCCCAGGGGTTCCACACAGATGATACTAATAACACTGCATACAACATTTCAGTATTGGTGTCACATAGAGAGGAATAGGGTTGAGGAAAGGAAGACACTTGGACAAAGAATTGAAGCTACAGTAGCAACCTCATAGGAAGCAAACATGCTAACTGCTCAGAGAGAAAGAACCAGAAGAAAGAATATTGGGGTTCACATCCCACCCCAAGGAGAGACAAATGCAGTCTCCTCAAGAGAAAGTCCACACTTTGGGGATAAATCTAGAAGCTATCATTTTAGATAGGAAAGAGCATCAGAAATGGTACCTCCCACTCCACAGACCAACGCTAATCCCTCAGCTACACAGAAGAGAAGCGCGTGATGAAGCCAGTATAGTCTTCCGGGTGCCAAAACTGTGACAGACCACTTCCTGCCCCCACCACACAGGCATGGACAACCCTACCTGCATAACCTAGCCCCTGTAGCCACTGTGAGTGACGTAAGGACCACTGCCTTACATCAGTTAGGCCCTAGCTGCAGAGTTCTCTTCCAGTTATAGCCATGCCCACCCATGTTACACTGGTTGATTGCTGGTAGTTGCTAGTTATTATTCACCAGATCTTGTTATCTATGTCACACCTACATGTAGCCCAACTGCATGGTTTTGCATACGACCAGTAACCAAGGGAGACAGTAAGCTGTGGGATCCTCCCCCTTCACCACTGCTGGTGCTCCACTGGCTAGACTGGACAAGATGTGGCCAGTCAGGTCTACTGGATATGATGCTAGAGAGTTCCTTGGGCCCTCCTCCAATTTTTGTCCAATTTTGAAGAAAGCTGAAATGAGGAGAAAGCAGGATAAAGGAAGAGCCCTCTTAGCTACTTACAGATACTGCTGCACCTGGTACATTTCTGTTGGTAGAATGGCTTTTAAAGCACAAGAACTCTGCTGGGACAAATAGGTTCCCCACTCTCTGCAGACATGGGGGGTGAGAAGAGAGAACCCCTTGCCTCTGTACATGTTGAATGGTAGCTCAGTTGGCTATGGAAACATGGTGATAGGGTTGACTAATGAATAGGTCCTCATGTAAGAATTTATAAATGTATAACTAAGAAACAGTTTCATTACCTGTTGGTTTTCTCATTGATCCCTACTTTCCCACTGAGTGTGTCTTCACCTGATATTCCTACTGATGTCTCCATCTGGGGGTTCACCAGCTAGATATGGCTGCCAGGACAATACTCACACAACCATTGCAGAAAGGTGGAAGTTACTCCCTTCTGTTGTTCAGGCTTGTTGCTCTGTGTGATTCCTATCCTACAAGGAAGTATATATGCAGAGGTGACTGTTTGGCCAGCAATGCCAATGCTTGGAGTAGGGTGCTTGGTACTTCAAAAGCTTCCACTTTGGAAATCTAGTTTGAAAGGCAGTGTGTAAAATTTTCCCTTACAGGCTCAGTTGTTATGTCTTAATATATGTGAGCTGTGTTCTCTTTCTGGGATTCATAGATTCCTGTTGTTGCACTATGATGATTAGTTTCTGAGTGAGCTGGTACCTGTTGTGATGGAGGGAGGCAGATAGGGACATGTGGGCCATGAGTCTTCAGGAGCTGTTAATTATCATTTAGGTACAACAACAGAGGCCCCGGTCACACAGGAGGATTTGCCCCGTGGAACGGACGGATTGAGGGCGGATTAAACCGGCGCGATCAAATGCCAACATCTGGCAAGTGTCACGCACCCACCCCCAACCCGTCCCTTCCGGCCGAAGATGCAGAGTTTAAAAAACCCTACAAAACATTACTACCTCCTGGAAAACCCACAGCACGGGCAGCCATGTTATCACCAACGCACCCATCTCCTGCAGCATGCAAGGCCCTCTGCCGAACTGCGCATGCACACACATGCGCAGCTGACTCACCTCACTCTCCTGTTCGTGGCTTTCCCCTTGGCATCTGATCGCACTGGGGAGCATATGTGCAGCGGCTTGGGGGATCTGTCTGATCCTGCTGTTGCGCTTCTCTTTTGCTGCGGCTCTAAAAAGCCGCACTTCCGCCACAGCTTGTCCTGCAGTGTGACCGGGGCCAGAGATTCATTTAGATACAACAGCAATTTTATGCTGGAACTTGGGTGGAACTTGGGTGGAACTTGGGTGGAACTTGGATGGAACTTGGGTAGAACTTGGGTAGAACTTGGGTAGAACTTGGGTGACTATAGTGTTAGGGATGGGAACAAACTGGGAAAATGTGTCTTGTTTCGGTTTGTGATTTGTGGTATGCCTGCTTCATGAGCCACAAACCCTCACAAACATTTAAGAGCTGAACAAACTGGTTTGGTTTGTGAAATTTGTGATGCAGTAGAACAGCTCCCCAACATGCTAAAGACACCAAACTTGCAGGCAGTCTCCAGCTGACTCCCCTCTACCTGCCCTCCAGGTTTGGTGAGGATTGGATTTACGGATCCAAGTTAAGGACCCCCAAAGAAGGTGCCTGTGCCCCATCCTCCATTGTTTCCAAAGGAGATAAAACCAGCAAAAAAGCAAGGGCAATAGAAGCCCCACAGAACAGGATCAAAGTCCCACACGATTTCTGCAGTAGAAACTGAAGGTGGGGGGCATTTTTGCAAGCACAGCAAAACCAGTGCCACTGTGGCAGTGAAAACCCAACAGGACTAAGGTCAAACCAGAGAATCTCTGCAATAGAAAGTTAAAGGTGGGGCATTTTTGCAAGCCCAACAGAACTAGTGCTATGTACTAGTGACCAGCAGAACCCAGTGCCATTGTGGCAATGTCAACTCAACAGTACTGATGTCACAAAGTGAGAATTTATAAACAAAGTCCTGGAGGCAGCGGAACTGGATAAATTGACTTTATTGATAAAAGGTTTAACAGACTCTACATTCCAGAATACTTGGGTATGGTTTTATAACTGGTACGATAATCACATGTAGGCAAGTTTATAGTGGACAGATTATTCATTTATTAATTGAAAGTATATATTCCATTGACGTAGAGATAGATGGTTACTTCACACAGTACACAAGAATAGAGAACAATGTTGATTAGGCATAAGCACAATGTTTGTTAAAAAGAATAATAACCCCCATATATGTGTGTATGTTTGTATGTTTATTTTTTGTTTGTTTGTGTAAAATATGCAAAAAATTTAATAAAATTCTGCCTTTTGGGGCAGTTAAAAAAAACAGTACTGATGTCTAGCACAGAGTCACACTTCAAGCAAGGGAGGGATTACAAGACCAGCAGAACCCAGTGTTGATGTGGCAATGCCAGCTTAATCACAAACCATGTGGGGGGGCATTTTTGCAAGCCCAGCAGAACCAGTACAATGTACAGAGTGCCCAGCAGAACCCAGTGCCACTGGCATTGCAAGCTTAAAAGGACTGATCTCAGAGCACAGAGTCACAAATCCAAGTAAGGGGGGTGGGATTTTGCTATTTCTGTGCAAGAAAATGGGATGTGAACACAGTGGAAGGCTGCAAAGGGGAGAAAACCCACTTGAAACTGCAACACCGACTATGTAGTGCACATGGAGGTCATTCAGAGGATCCAAGCCATGATGCTTAGTACTCCAGGGAAAAACCTAGGTTGTAGATTTTAATAAAATTTCATTTAACTCCCAAGACTTTAATTTTATTGAGTTGCTACATAAAGATGAACAATTATCAGCAAGAATGTACCCAGATATCATGTCCTCCAGCACTTAAGAGATGCTGAGATAATGGGGTATGAACAATCAGTGCCATAAACACAATGACAGTGCAATTATGATTTAAAGGAAGTAATTCATTTTTCCCCTGTGTGCCTGCAGTGGTGAAAAAGACTAACAACAGTTCTTTACTCTGGCTGCTCTAGGAATGGGTGACCCTAACCCTTTATAATTTACCCCAGAAACGTAATGTCAGTGCTTCCTGATAGTAATTCCATGTCTGTGTTTTGTTCCTTCTCTAGATGTTCACCATCCAGGCTCAAGCTCATCATGTACAGCTTGTTTCCCATCCTCTTGTGGCTCCCGAAATACAAAATCAAAGATTACATAGTGCCTGATGTTCTTGGTGGTATCAGTGCTGGAACTATTCAAGTGCCTCAAGGTGTGATAATATTGCTATGTAGAAAAGCAAGCCATAAATAAATTAAACGAATATTATTCAGAGGTTAAATTGTGTAGCTTCCTCAGGACAAATGTGTAGATATCTGCCTTGAGTCCCAGTAAGAAAGGTGGAGTATAAATTACATAAATGAATAATCTTCTACATCATTTTGATTGCATTCAGATATCACAGCAAGTCAAAATGTGCATGAACCCAGCTTATTACTTGTGCCTCCTTCCTAGCAATTGGGTCTCCCAGTGTTCATTAGGGTATTTGATTAACCCAGTGGGTAAAGGTTGCCTTTTGCATATAGATTCCTAGTTAGAACCTAACTTTAATTAGAGAATAGCAATACAGGCATGCACATTAACCAAAGTAGTTTTCCCTCCACAAACCAGGTAGTTGGAGTTAGTTTCTAACCAGCATTCTCCCTGTGAGAAGGGAAGCATGTACATGAGCCCAGAAACATGCTGGGATTGCGTAGATCTTAGCTTAATGTTGGCTTGTTGTGAAATCTTTGTGTAAACCATGCTTTTAGTAATCTGGGTAGCATGCCACAGAGTGCTCACCAATTAGCCCTAACTTTCATAAGCAATCTGCCCTGTTCCTGCCATTCCTAAGTACAACATAACCAGGCCAAAGACCAGGCCTATTTATCCCATTCATCCTGTGACAACATGAAGCTGGTGGTCCCTATATGGTCCTTTAAATGCTAATCATAGGAGACCAAAACCTTTTTTGCTCAGTATCAATGTGACCAGCTAGTTCCATGTTGACACTAGGAAGGGTCATCTTCTTGAAAGCCCATGTATACAATTTCTCTCCCTTAAAAACTGGGGAGAAGAGAAACTACATGTGAAGGATCTTTGGGGATCAAGGATCAATGTGAACAACCCACCTCAAATGTTATTATCCATGTGCAGCTGTAGCAATGGAGCTGTTTAATGTGGGGGAATTTTTAAATGTACAATCCAGAACTCTGAAACATAGATCTATATAGGCATCTTGGCCATAGATCTAACTTTCTGTATGTGGCCAAACATATAACTTTCTCATATCATTATGACAGAACATTAATGTCATCATATTGGTTGTTGACTGTGGATGTTTGTAGGTATTATTTATATTGTCTGCCTGCCACTATTCCTAACTTGTCCTCTACAGAAGATGTCACCAAACTCTCTGGTAAGCTGATGGTGCCTGTTAGACTTACTGCAATGACTCAGTTTTATGCTCTTCCTCTAAATGAGGGACACCAGACAGGCCCGTAGCTAACGCGGGGCCCACGGGGCCTGGCCCCCTAGCAGTTTTTATGGGCCCCCTTCCTGAGCCTCAGCTCCCCTACCCCAACTCCCCCTGATTGCCTGTCAGCCTGTTGGCAGGGAGGACAAGGACAGTGATTTCAGAGGCTGTCCATGGTGCTGTGCCATGGGAAGAGGCACTGGGCCTCCTGGGGGGGGGAGCTGGACTCAGAGGCTGTGGCTGCTGCAGCCCTTGCCCTGGAAACTTTGATTGGATTAGCAAGCGCCCCCCCCAGGCCCCCTCCCGAAAAAGTCCTTAGCTACAGGGCTGACACCAGAAGACTCTGCATCACAGATACTGACTGATTCCCCACAAGCAGGTGTGCCACCCTCACTCTTCTGTTTGCCCCGGTTGCATTGGTCAATTTCACACTATTCACTGTGTGGCCGTATTTTGACTTGCATCTCCCCCTAGTTTCCCCCACATCTTCTTGATCCTTGTTTTTTAAGATCAAGAAGACATGGGGGAAATCGGGGGGAGATGTGGGTCAAAATGCGGCCATGCAGCAAATAGTGTGAAGTTGACCAATGCAGCCATGGCAAACGGAAGAGCAAGGGCAGTACAGCTGCTCGTGGGGAATTGGTCACTGTTACTTTATATGCACAATGATGAAAAGGGAATAATTGGCCAAGTTTTAGGATGTAAGATCTGATGTGTTTTTCACTTGTATTTTTCAGGCATGGCCTTTGCTCTGCTGGCCAATCTGCCTCCCATCAATGGGCTCTACTCTTCGTTCTTCCCTCTGATAACATATTTCTTGCTAGGTGGTATTCCTCAGATGGTCCCAGGTAAGATCCTCTTTCCACTACCACAAGTACATTACACATGCATACTGTCTGAAAGTATTCTCTGTAACTATACCAGCTCTCATCTGGTGTCTCTCACACTCACCTCTTTGGGTTTGGTGTCTCATCTGCATTAATGAACTAATTGAAAGGCCTATTTAGTGGAACAGTGGTCTACAGGCTGGTTAATGTATTCATCAATCAGTTAGCTGTCACCTGTTGCAAATGCATGCTACCTATACAATATGCAGAGATAAATAAGTGCTTAGTTATTACAGCCTGTTGATCTATACAGACTTGTAGTCCTCAGCTATCTGCAGGCTAATAGCAGCATCCTCTCCCATCACACATGAGAAGGTGTTCTGCATGAATATAAGTCAAAATTTGTGTATATGTGTGTGTTGCAGGTACTTTTGCAGTCATCAGTATTATTGTGGGGAATGTCTGCCATGAACTGGCTCCTGATTATGAATTCCAGTACTTTAACCACACAACCAAGGAAATAATGGTTAACCACACAGCCATGGAAGCAGCCAGACTGGAGATCTCTGCAACATTGGCTTGTTTGACAGCCATAATACAGGTCAGGACGCCCTGTGTATATAGAAGTCTGTAGAATATTCAGGTGGCCTTGCTAGGAGTTGGACAATGGTCACCCCATACAGTTTTGATGAGAAAGAAAGGGAAGACCATATCAGTACTTTGAACATCTGAGTCTATTTATAAACAGTTTGTTGATTAATAGGGTTTGTGGGGGGTATTGGGATCTTCATCCATTCTCTTCCTAACAGTTCTTTGGCATTGCACGTTGTTCATTTGTGCATGCATGGAATGAACTGCTGATTGGAGGCCAAAGTATTAATGTTTTCTAAGATGAGGGGAATATGAGTTCCAAATTCTTCACTTGCTAACAAAGCTCAAAATCATGCAGTTTTGCTCTTCCTGTACTTTTTCACCCATCTGCAGTACCATTCTAAGCACAGTTCCATTCTTCTTCTTTTTTAATAAGCACAGTTCCATTCTTCTAAGCCCATTGACTTCAGTGGATTTAGAAGAGTCTAACTCTGCTTAGGACTGTACTGCCAAGGAACATATGCAATGAGAAAAAATATGTACATACAGTGCCACTTTTATAGTTATAGCCTGAATTTTCATTGCTCTTAGTCAGAAAAAAAGGTAGATTTTTGTGTCTACCATATTTGGTACCGGTTTGAGGGTCAGACTAAGAGTTTGTTGGTGAACTCAACTTGAAGTTGTTCATGATGAGGATGGCTTAATGTTGGGCTCCTTCCTCCCTTCCCCACTCAAAAGTATGCTGCCATGGAAGACAGAAATCTTCAATCTAACTCCAGTTCACACACCTAAATGCCGATGACTTTAAAAAATGGAGCCTGTATATTTCCAAATAACCAGGCTTAGAATCACCCACTTTTAACACCACAGTTTGGTGTAGTGGTTAAGTGCGCGGACTCTAATCTGGGAGAATCGGGTTTGATTCCCCACTCATCCACTTGCACCTGGCTGGATGACCTTGGGCAAGCCGTAGTTCTAGCATAGCTGTTAAGAGCAGTTTCTGTCAGAGCTCTCTCAGCCCCACCTACCTCACGGGGTGTCTGTTGTGGAGAAAGGAAGGGAAAGGAGTTTGTAAGCCGCTCTGAGACACCTTTGGGTAGTGAAGGACGGGGTATAAATCCAATCTCTTCTTCCCAGGGGTCATTTCGTAGAAAAAGAGGTACAGGAGCTCATTGGCATAATTTATTTGCATATGCCACACCCCCTGACATTACCAGAAATGTGTCAGAAGGCGACACCCACCGCTCAGGCTCCACTGGACTGTTTTGGATTGCCAGCTATTGGTGGGGGGGATGTGTAGATCTGTCCTCGCAGAGGAGGGAGAGCTTATACCTGAAAAAAACTTGGTCTTAAAGGTGCCACTGGACTGTTTTGGATGGGGGGGGTTCTGCAACTTACCTGGCTGCTTCTTGCTCTGACTGAGGGCTGCTGGGAGCAGGGGGTGGGGCTTGTTGCATGTGCCCACCCCCTGGGCTCTTTACTGCCGGAGCTCCGCTCCTGTGCGCTCCTGCAGGAAATGACCCCTGCTTCTTCTAATATGTACCCACTTTTGTACATCCTGGGGAGGAGATAGGGAGCATGCAAGCACAATACTAAAAACAGGGTTGTGCTTGTCATTAGGTTGTGCTGTCTGAATGCAGCCTTGGTGTGTGTGTGTGTGTGTGTGTGTGTGTGCATGTATACACTTCTTTAAATGCCCATGTACATACCTCTGGGATTCTTATTACACCAGATCTCTGAAGTACTAAAAGATAAGAACATAAGAAGAGCCCTGCTGGATCAAGCCTGCCTCACACAGTGGCCAACCAGTTACTCTGGAGAGCCAACAACAGGGCATAAGAGAACGAGGCCTTCCCCTGATGTTGTCTTCTGGCATTGGTACTCAGAGGTTCTCTGCCTCTGGATGTGAAAGTTCCCTTTTAGTGTAGCCACTGATAGACCTATCTTCCATGAACATGTTCATTCATCTGTATCATCCATACTATATGGGTTTATTGCATGAAACATTGGTGTGCCGTGTTGTGTGGCATGTACACTTTGTTTGTCCAGTGATCATGGGTGAGTGTTCAGAAACCCAAGGAAACTTTTTTGAGGGCTTTTAAAAAAAAGAACTACAATTTTATAAGAATAAGTAGATTTCCACACAATGACCTAATTGCTTGTCTTTGGCTGAGTTCAGACTGGCAGTTTGAAGCAGGAGGGAGTCGTGGCAAAAAAGACTTGGAACAAACTGTTCCGGGTTTTCCCGGTCACACTCCACCGACTGATGCGGGAGCATACCAGGGAGGAGGCGCAAGGGAGCGTTCACACTGTTGGCCCGGAGGCGCAGCTGTAAGCGGCTTTTTCTGGTAATCTGGTTATGTGCACTTATACGCTCATCTGCATAAGCGCATCCCTACCGGGTCGCGGCTTTTCATGTTCACACTTCCGGGAAGCAGGATGGACATGGGATAATCGCGCTTTCCAGGGTTTGATACCACTTTCACCTGGTATCTTTTAAACTCGGGAGGGAAGCATTACAAGACGGGTTGAGTACGGGTGGGGAACGCCTGACAGATGTGCCTGTGTGAACGGCCCCTTTAATCTGTTTGTGAAACGTTTCTGGCTTGTGCCTATACTGAGGCAAACTGCCAGTATGAACTCGGCCAATGTTTCTTTCCTAAAATAATATGTGTGCACACGGTTTATATGTCTGTATCAGAGCCCTGTTAGTGCTGCAGTGTCGCCAGGGTATCATAAGATTGGGTTGTGCCCATGTTGACTCCGTGTGGAAGGCTGCTTGTCTCCCCTACGCTTCAAGATTGGTCGGTTGCACACAGCTCAGGGTTTCCTTTCACCACTCCACAAATTTAATCAGGGTTGTCTTTCTTGGCAATTAGGACATCAGAAATAATCCTTGTTTTCCTCTCATTGTATTGATCTCTCTGCTACCTCCTGCCTCTGCCATTCAACTGCTGTTCTCTTATCCCTCTAATCTTCCAAACTCCATGGCTACCACTTCTATTATGTGCTCCATTGACCCTTCCCATCCAGGTGAACTTTCCTGCATCTTCCGTATTTGTCATATAATATGAGGATTTTTTCTAATGTTTCCAAGCAAGTCCAAGAGGATGCAGGGATTTTATTTCCTGGGACTACACCACAGCGAAATACTGGTGTGTCCCAGGAATATCCCTGCCCTACTTTATCTTCTCTTACCTCATCCTATAAGCAGCAAGCAGGAGGAATTATATGCATCAGGCTTTGTGCCATACTCTTACACTGGGGGAAATCCCTTTGGGAACAGTTATTCATTTCTACATACCAGATTGTTCTGGTGTATTAACAGCAGGATGTGCCTAGGAGAGCCCTGGTCCTCACTGATCCATGTGACTCGCATTTCTGTCCACAGATATGCCTGGGATTTGTGCAGTTTGGCTTTGTTGCCATCTACCTTTCTGAATCCTTCATCAGGGGCTTCATGACAGCAGCTGGCCTGCAGATCCTCATCTCAGTGCTCAAGTACATCTTTGGTGTGACAATTGCATCCTACACAGGACCCTTGGCCATTGTCTATGTGAGTGAACTCTCAGGAACTGATGATATTATTTCCCCCCCCCATGCCACCTGTTTATGATATAACAACATGCAAATAAATGTGGACACATATTAATGCATTTCTCCTCCAGCTAAACGAAAACTGATCAAGGCCTGAAAAAGCTGGTTTTGCTGTACAAATGTGGTGAATATTGTAAATACTGTAATGAGAGGTTTAAAACGATATAAAACACTTCTCATTGCCTCATAACACAGGAACAAATTAACTAAAGATTATCAAACATTTATGCAAAAAAGAGCTTTTCCAATCAGTTGGACTGAATAAGGTCAAGATAGCAGAGAGGATGCAATGGCTGCAAGATCTTCTGTAAAGGCTGAATTTTACTACTTGTACTTTTCCCCAGTTCCATGCTGCATGATGGGAGAAGGGAGACAGTTCCTGTTTAGGCTGCTCTTAAAAGTAGACGAGGTCTCTCAGTGTCTTGTGACAGTAGAAAATGGAGCTAAGTAGTAGAGTAGTAGTAGACTCTGAATTCTAACAAATTTTTCATTAAGAGATTAGCAGAATTAGCCATTTTGCAGTTATAAGAACATAAGAGACGCCAATGTTGGATCAGGCCAAAGGCCCATCCAGTCCAACACTCTGTGTCACACAGTGGCCAGAAATACCAGGTGCCATCAGGAGGTCAACCAGTGGGGCCAGGACATTAGAAGCCCTCCCACTGTTGACCCCCCCCCAAGCACCATGAAGTTACTGTTGCCTGCTGTGAGCGTCCTGAAAGTTTCTCTGAAGTCTCAATCGCATGCCACCGTTGGAAACAGCGAGTCAGACTAAATGCATCCTGTCTGGTGAAGACCTACTTACTGGTCCTATAATTAATACATAGTTGACTACTGTAGGACTGAGCCTTCGTGTCACTGCTTTTGGTGCTGGTCACTGTGAATTATAGGGTGCTAGGCTACATAGTAGTCCACTCAGGTGCCATCTTTGTGCCTGGAACAGCATAGCACACGTCATGGCATTTCTTTGCTGATGTTTTCAAGACCTCTTTCTCTTGCTTAACCCTCTTCTCTTCTTCTTTCCTCAAGACATTTATTGATATTTGCAAAAGCCTGCCTAAGACCAACGTGGCCTCCCTGGTGTTTGCCTTGATCAGCACTGTGCTCCTGATTATTGTGAAAGAGCTGAATATGAAATACATGAAAAAGATTCGAGTCCCTATCCCCATGGAAATCATTATAGTAAGTAGTTCCTTCCTCCAGTTTTCTGAGCCCTTGAGCCTCTTCAGATCTCGCAATAAAAGGTAAGACTCTTCAGACAGCAGAGCAGAGCAAAATACTCTCAAAGAGGAAATATTGTAATTTACTTCTGTGTGAAATATCACAGTCAGGTTCTCCGGTTCAGGATGAGAAAGTTCTGACCACATTAGAGGTTCCTTGTGGCTGTTCTGAAGTTTGGATTTCCCCCCATTTGCACAATAAATGTGTGGCAGAGGAGCCAAACATCCTTACCCAAGCACTACTTTTTTGCTGCAGTAATGGAACTTTTAAACAAGAACATTAAGTTGCTGGGAATATGCCACCAGAGAGAACTATGGTTAGATCTGCACTAGTCTGGAATTCCCATCCAGTTTTAATACACTGTCCCCATGATTGCAATCTATTGCCTTCTAGTGTTTTCAGTGTGATTCTTCTGTTTTTTCAGACCTGATAAGTGCAGCTGCGATGCCATGCTGGCCAGTATGGACAGTCAAAGCACTATTGAGGTGTCTTAGGTCCACTGTCCCTTTAAAATTTCTCCTTCTTCCAGCTTAATTAATTAATGTCTTGCAGTTCTCTTGGCATTTATGAATCAACTCTAAATTTTCAGTTCTTGCTTCAGGGGAGAGGGCTGCTTTTCACTTTGTAGATATTCAAAGCCACTGCTCTTTTTTAATTGTTTATTACTGTGCTTTTGTAGTCATCTGTGTTATTGTCAAGATAAGCAGTGACTTTGGCTAAATGCAGAGAAAAAGTAGTATTTAACACCCCTCTGGCAACAAAAATTGATAATTAACTATTAATACATGAGTAATCTAAGAGAACTCACCAGTCCCAAGATAACAGGATGTAATTAATTAGCTGGAAACAAAGGAGAGAAAAGAAAATTGCTGAGAAAAGTTAGATCAAGATGGGTAGCCGTGTTAGTCTGTCTCGTAGCAGTTTAAAAGAGCAAGAGTCCAATAGCACCTTAAAGACTAACAACATTTGTGGCTGGGTATGAGCTTTCATGAGCCACTGATATAGCCAGAATGTGAGTCCATCTGTCCTTATTATTGGCAGTAGAGTGATTTCACATGCTGAATAACAATAGCAGGTGAATGACAATACCAGGCATTATTGGATTAAGTGTGATGTATAGAGGGGTAGCAGACATGGAGAAATCAGCTTTGGTAAAGAGACAGGAAACCTATATCTCGATTCAGTCCTGGAGGATCAACTGTCTTGAGCTTCATTATCAACTGAGAGAAGTTAGCTTTGAGTCCAATAGAACCTTAGAGACCATCAAGATTGTCAGGGTATGAGCTTTTGAGAGTCAAAGCTCCATTCATCAGATGCTGAGAGAAGTGTAACCTTTGCTGAAAGTGGCATACTTCTGAACAGACATATTGATATGGTGAAATATTTTATGGGAAATACAGCTCTATGTTAATTGCTGTTTGGAATCACCATTTCACTTTTTCTTGCTGTTGAATGCAAAAAGCCACACAAAAAGATTATACTGTGGAACCACCCAGGCATTCCAAATGCAAATCCTTTGGGGCAAATGGCTGCACACAGGCACTCATTAGATGGTAGCACTGATGAAACACAGCCTTTACACATCGTTATGAAACAATTTCTCTTCATAATTTATGTCTGTGTTCAATAAATGCTTTTAGGTTTGAGAACAGGTATACTCATCTAGCATTAGAAAGGAGGGCAGGAAGGAACTGATACAGTACACAAACACACATGCTCTGCATACACAGTACATTTCAGAATAACTATTGGGATTACTGTAATCAACACTGCATAAGGCAGAGAACAGCAGGAAGTCAATTCCCTGCAGCAGTCCAAATTTCAGAAGTATTTCACAGTGGATAGAAGTATTGCACAGTGGATAAAAAGGCATGGGGAGTGTGTTTGTCGGTTGTCTGGAAATGCCCTTTGGCTATTTTCACATTATTAAGCAGGTATTAAGGAAGCAGTGGTACACCCTCTCTTCAAAAAGCCATCACTGGACCTGGCCGAATTGGCCAACTATTGGCCGGTCTCCAACTTGCCCTATTTGGGCAAGATAATAGAGAGGGCAGTGGCAATTCAGTTACAGGGCTTTCTGGATGATGCTTCCATTCTAGATCCCTTCCAGTCCAGCTTCTGCCCGGGTCACGGGACGGAGACAGCACTGGTCGCCCTCATGGATGACCTCCGGAGGCACCTGGATCGAGGCGGATCGGCAGTGCTGCTGTTGTTAGACCTGTCGGCTGTGTTCGACATGGTCGATCATCAGCTACTGACCCGCCGCCTCGCCGACAGTGGAGTCTTGCAATGGCTTGTTTCCTTCCTCCAAGGTTGGGGACAAAGAGTGGCACTAGGGGACCAACTGTCCTAAAGGCACCCACTGGAATGTGGTGTGCCTCAAGGAGCAGTGTTGTGCCCAATGCTTTTTAACATCTATATGCGCCCTCTTGCCCAGATTGCCCGGAGGTATGGGCTGGGTTGTCACCAGTATGCGGATGACACCCAGCTCTATCTGCTGTTGGGCTGCCAGTCCAACTCCAAACCGGGAGATCTTGACCTGGCGTTGCAAGCCTTGGCTGGTTGGCTTAGGCTGAGCCAGCTGAAATTGAATCCGACGAAGACGGAGGTCCTGTCCGGGGGTAGGGATCCCACTCCCAGCCTTCGATGGGGCGCAGTTGGTGCCAGGTCAGGAGTTTGGGAATGCTCCTGGACATCTCCTTAACAATGGAGGCCCAGGTAGCAGCCACTGCCAAGTCGGCCTTTTACCATTTTAGGCTGTTTGGGCAGTTGGTTTCCTTCCTCAAACGCAATGACTTGGTAACAATGATCCATGCTATGGTCACCTCAAGATTGGATTACTGTAATGCCCTCTACATGGGGCTGCCCTTGGCCCAAATGCGGAAGCTGCAGCTAGTGCAGAACGCAGCGGCGAGGCTGCTGTTGTGTCATCCTGTGCGGGAACACATCCAGCCCACCCTAAAAGAACTGCACTGGCTGCCTGTAGCATACCGGATTCGGTTCAAGGTCCTGGTTATGACCTTTAAAGCCCTTTATGGCCAGGGACCTGCATACCTGAGGGACCGCCTTTCCCCATATGTTCCCCAGAGAGCACTGTGATCAGGGACCCAAAATCAGCTGGTCCTCCCGAACATCAAGGAGGCCAGACTTGCTTCAATGAGGGCTAGGGCTTTTTCAGTGGTGGCTCCCCTCTGGCAGAATGAGCTCCCAGAGGAGATCAGGGCCCTGCGGGACCTGTTACAGTTCCTCAGGGCCTGTAAAATGGAGCTCTTCCACCAGGCCTTTGGAGCCGCCGCCACCACTGTTACCATCACCACCACTGACATCTGATAGTCCTCAGGGTGCAAGTCCGACTTTCTGGGCCCCTAAGCATAACCTGACTCGAGTGCCTGGGACATCTGTAGCAGACCTGAGTGCCTGGGACATTTGTAGTAGATCAAGAAACTGACCGAGCTTTGAGAACTAATGCTAGCATTTTATTATGTTGTATGTTTATGGTTTTAAATTCATGTTGGGGGTTTATCGGTTTTTGTATTTAATGAATTGTTTTATATTGTTGTAAGCCGCCCTGAGCTGGCTTTGCTGGGAGGGCGGGGTAAAAATCTAATGAAATAAATAAATAAATACTGGGCAAAATATGGTTTGACTAGAATTAAATCTTAGAAAGAGCAGGTTGCAAGAAAGCAGTCTCTAGATGGCAGAGAGAATGTAGAAGCAGCTAAGACAAGAGCAAAAAGAATGAAAGACTGAGAGTTGAAACAGAGGAGGCACAGGGAAGAAAGCAGACAGCGCTGGAAGGACAGGCTGAACACTTCTGCTGATCTGCAGTAGAGTATCCATTGTGAGGCAGACCTGTTTATACAGAGGACCAGCATAAGGCCTCCTCTTGCCACTCCAGCACTGGTTTAAATCCTTGAAGTGAACATAAGGGGAGAAATCCAAATGGCCTGAAGCAGCCCACCCACTGCATCTGCTTTCATAGCAAAATGCTAGAGCACCGATCTGAACACCTGTATCTCCTGGCACATTCCTGCCAGTGACAGACTGGCCATGCTGAAGTTTGACATCAAAAGCAATGGAAGTTGTTTGTCCACAAGTTGACAAATTGTTGCAAATGCTAACTCCTGTGTCAACCTGCCTCCAATATATTTTCCTTCTCAGCAGTACCCAACATAGAGGAGACCCAGGTCAACTGAGGTTATTGAGGAAAATGCACTGACATGCTGAAGTTGCTTTGACCATATATCAACAAGTCTTGGTGAAAACAACCTCAGAGTGAGCAGTTGTATCCCAAAGTACTGAAATGTGATGAGACAGGAAGTTAGAGTAAGATGCCTACATATCTCAGGTGACTGGGGAGGCAAGAGGCCAAAGTACGTGCTGACACCCAGGGAGTGTTTATGTAATTATAGCTGTGGGAAATGCTAAGATTTGGGCAGACGTCTTTGGTTTCAGTTTGCAATCACTCCCAGAGAGGTATGAAATAAGCTTTGCTGTTCTAACTTGGGAACATCTTATACCCACTTTACCGTGTTGTGAATGATGGCAGGGGATACAGGATAGCAGAAGAGGCAGAATTTACTCTAGTTTCAGAAAGAAAAATGTGAAAAAGAGATGTTGATTCCATGAAATATACAGCAGAACACTATAAAGGACTGATTGATGTTGTTATTACCATTGTTGGTAGTAGGATTGCCAGCCAATGGTAAAACCATAAAGTTTCCTGCGATTCCTAGAGTGACATGACATAATTCTGAGGAAACCCAGAAGTGACAAAGGGTTGCCAGGCTAAGCCTGGGAACCAGTGGGAAGGCTGGGAACAGGGACATTGGGTGGTGTAACATCGCCAACATTGTAGTATTACTTCTAGGTACAACCAGGTACAACACGGAAGTGACAAAGGGTAGCTCTAGGAATCACCAGAAACTCTATGGTTTTACCACAGAGTTTCTGCTGATCCCTAGAGCTTGTCACTTCCAAGTTGTACTGGAATTGATGAAGAGATGTTGGTTCCATAGCTGTTTTTATTCCTCCCAATGGATCTTACAGTGGGAGGCCTGGCAAGTCACGTATTTGGAAGGCTAGTGAATTATAAGACTCCTGAAGGAATTCCATTCAAAAATCTCCTTTCAAACTACTTCCATATATGTACGGAGAGCTCTTACGCATGAAGAAAAAAAGCCACCAAACAAAAAACAAAGCCTATCCCCAGCTTCTCTTTCTGGTGCCTTTTGGCTTAATAGCCCGACATTGTGACAACTGCAGCAGCCATCTTAACAACTCAAACAACTCAGTTTCTTCTTCCCAGGAGACAGATGGCCTCTCATCCAACATTTAACTCTTTATTAACTGTATCATTCTGTGATCATGTGTATCATTCTGTATCATTAACTCTATAGCAAATGGGTAAAGGCATGAATTTCTTTATTTGGGCTTATTTGTTACACAGCCGGAATGCTTGTTAGGCAGTCCATCTTGCCCTTCATCTAATATGACTACTAAGGGCAGGTGGCAAAATGAATGTTTTGGTGAATTTAGCTTTTAAATTTTCATTATGAACTGACTGAAGCACAAACCAGCCTCTCACATGTGGAAACATCCTCTCCCTACAAGGCATGATCTGAGGAAAAGCTTCTGCAACGCAGGAAAGGAATGCCAGTTAACAGAACAGTATACGGGAAGCTGAGAATCCTGGATTCTGTACTATTTTCTTTATATGAAGTGGGGATTTTATGTGGAGTATTTTGCAAGTAGAATCGGCAGATCTGATAATGAAGAACTGTTTGTTCATTAATTTACAGTGCCAACCTAGGCAGTTGCACCCATCTAAGCACAATGACTTCAGTGGACTTAGAAAGGTATAATTCTGCTTAGAATGGCATTGTTATTAATTCAGTATCAGCAGAAAAAAGATCCCATAATATGCTTATAGGCCACTCCCATTGGATTTCCTCACACCACCACCACCACTAATATCCAAATCTCTGCTTTCTCCACAAGGTGGGAAATGTGCCGCAAAGCTAACGCCTCTTTTACGCTTTGATTTTAGGTCATAGTGGCTACTGCCGTATCCGGAAGCTTTAATATGGCTGAGAAATATGACATGCCAATTGTCGGGCACATTAACATGGGGTGAGTAACCTTTGTGAGAATGGCTTCTTTTCTGGAATGGAGATGATTTCGTGATTCTAACTCTTGAGTCTCAATTACGCACATACCTTCTTTCTCCATTTCCATTTCAAAAGTTTCATTCATTTTCATTGTATTTATTGGACTATTGTATTGATTTTTGTTCCCCTTGGAAATGCTGCTGACCCTTCTCCTTCCTGCTCTGACTGTCCTTTTCCTTCGCTGGTGGGAGTGGCTGCTGCTGCTGCTGCAGACCAGGTTGGGACAGTGGTTCTGGCTAGCCAGCTAGGCAGGCCCGCAGACAACTAAACAGGCAGACAGTCAATGGACAAGGGAGCAGGGTGCGGAGAATTGCTCTTCTCCGCACCTTCTGTGGTACCACAGACACTGTTTCCAATCCACGCAAGGTGCCATACCTCAGAATTGATATGATTCTACATTAAGACGTCGGCCACTCTGAGGACGACATTTTTGAAGGTGTTCCACACATCACACACATCAGAGATGGCACCCATGTTTTGGTGGAGGGGAAGAAAGATTGTCTTCCCATACTCACATTGGCTGGTCATTGCCATTTGGACAAGTATGGAAAGTCACTGGTTGCACAAGACGTTTAATGGAGGGGAAGGAAGAAGTGGAGCAGAAGGGGCAATAAATGAACAAATGGCATTGATTCATTTGTTTCTTTCCCCATTGATTTGATTACCAATGGGGCTTATTTAGTTCGTTTTTTCATTGTAATTAATTCCCATCCTTTATCGCTGTGCTTTTAATAATCAACCTCATTCTTTCTAGAATAAGAGTATAATTAAGGGATGGTTTCATGTTTAATTTCAGCATTGCAGTTGGGTGGAAAGGTTTCACTTCAGTTCTGGAAATGGAAAGGTTTTACTTCTGGGATTCCGATCTCTGTGTCCCATGCATGCACACGCACACACACCCTTTCTCTCCATTCTTAGTACTGCCAACCAGGCCTGCTAAAGGGGAAGGCAGAGGGCAGACAACATTGGGAACCATTTAAAAACAAGTTGAAACATTGGTGAGTGTTTAGCAACATCTGTAAATAGAATAGAAACTAGGGCAGCCTAAGAGTGGAAAATGTCCTCAAGCCCTGATTTATATGAGTCAATCCATTATTGAAATGTGAGCCCAATGTAAATACTAACTACAGGCAATTACAGCTGGATAAGACATGTGACAGACCACACTTTGAAACTGCAATTATAATAAGCTGCATACAAGTCTACATTCCTGTGATGGAGAAATAAACAGGAATAGATCTGGGGAATGTACTGTGTTTTAGGATGCAGCATTATATGAAGTACATTGAATCCCAGAACAATGAGGCAACGTATATCCTTTGACCTTAGGTCTGTGATTCATACAGTACTTTTGCAACATACTAGCTATTGCAAAGCTGCTTCTCTGTGGTGGCTCCATTGGTGATGTATGGATGTACATTAACCTAAACCTTGATTGCATAGATACTTCATACATTACCATCCCTCCTTTCGGGCCACTGATACTGACTTGCAGCCACACAATGTGAGTTACTCATATGATCGCGACATCCTGCCTCTGCAGTGTGATTGAGGGACTGTAGCAAGTGGCTCACAGTAATAACCATTCTACAAAGAAACATGAATTGATCCTTACACAGCAGACCTAATCAGAGTTAATCCTTCTAAGTGCTTTAAATTCAGTGGACTTAGAATGGTGTAACTCTACTTAGGATTGCGCTGTTAGTGAAATAGAAACCCATCCTTCCCCTTATTATTCAGTGCTGGGTGAATAGTGCAGCTGAACGCTAAGAACCTCTATACTGCTTGCAGGTGATATAACAGAAACAGATTCAAATCCATTTAGGGGCTGGCAGTCCCTAGAAAACACATTCTAGTTATCAACTCTTATCTATATCTACCATAAATATCAGAAAGAGATACAGTATTTCAAACTGAAATTATCTAGAGGGTTTTCAGTAGAGCAGGGGGTAGGTACACCCTGACCTGGATAGCCCAGGCTAGCCCAATTTTGTCAGATCTCGGAAGCTAAGCCGGGTCAGCCCTGGTCAGTATTTGCATGGGAGACCACCAAGGAATACCAGGGTTGCTATGCAGAGGCAGGCAATGGCAAATCACCTCTCAACGTCTCTTGTCTTGAAAACCTTATGGGGTCGTCATAAGCCAGCTGTGACCTGACGGTGAAACAAAGGGGGTAGGTAGCTGGGTAGGCATCCAGACCATACTGCTCAGTTGGCCTGTTGGTAGTGGAGCTGAACAGGCAACTTATTGCATAATGTAAGATGTTAGTGTGATTGCTTCAGTACATGGAAATCAAGATAAAATTACTGCAAAGTTTAGGCAGAACTATGCGGTGGCTTGGTAACTCCTGGCTGAATTGCAAGCTAGGCATATGACTCAAGTCTCACAGTTTAGTGCCAAACTCTACAATGAGCCGAATGGAAAAACTTACCATTCAGGCTTCCATTTTGTTTTGTGGAATTTAAGGCACTTGATGCGGATTCTAACATTTTAATGAAATGTGATGACCTCAGTATCTCTGTAGTTTCCCTTAATTTTGCCATTCTTCCTTTAGCACATTGCAGTTGGCAGCTGTATTGTTCTTCACAGCTTACTGTTATCTTCACTGGAGGAAAGTTCATCTTGCTTCCATATCACAGTCTGTCCTCTGAATCTGGCTTCCTGTTTTTTCTCCTCAATCCCCTAACTGCCTGTCCTTGCTATTTTGATTCTAGCTTTCCTGCAGCCACACTTCCTCAAGTAGGCAAGTGGAAGGACATGATCGGCACAGCTTTCTCACTTGCCATTGTGGGCTATGTAATCAACTTGGCCATGGGCAGAACCCTTGGCACCAAGCATGGCTATGATGTGGACCCCAACCAGGTAACAGTCTTTGGCTCTTAGCAGAGAAATGTAGGCAGGAATCGGTTCGTCAAAAAATTCTGCACAACCATTTCCAGAGTTTGGGTCTGATGACTCTGTCCTCCTCAGAGAGCAGAGCGTGTAGGGAATTGTCTTTGGAATCGCTGAAATATAGCCACCCATGCTTTCATGTGCAAAACAAAGAACCATTTTCAGTCATAACAAATTTGGAGCTCAAACCACATGTAAAATGAGATTGTGCTACCCATAATCTTCCTGATATGTGCAGTCATCATTTTATGTAAACAAGGTAATGCTTGTATTTTCAAGATTTGGTACACACAGATGCATAGTCATGAGGAATCTTGGTTTCAGATTGTGCATACTGAAGCTATAAAATATGTACATTGCCCTATTCACACCAACAGACACCCACATGTATTGGGAGGATTGCATATGGCATGATCTCCCCTTATATGTCGTCTGAGTACCAACACTGAAATGACTGAATAGGGTTCTTGGCTTCAGGTCACTATGAGAGACATTGCTAGCAAAGGGGTCTGGAGGCCGAGTCACAACAGTCTCACAGTGGTGGGGTGTTTGCATACAGCAATGCACCATGCCAACTGGACACTTTTCTCAATACCACCACAAACATAAAAAAGGTGTGATATACACTTAGTGTGTGTTGAAAAGCACATGGAGAGCAAACAGGATCTGCTGCATGTGAAGGCCTAGCCCTGTGGAAATAGTTAGTATGTGGAGTGATTTAGAAGATGGTTGTAACAACACTAGCCATAGCCTTTGTGTCTGTTTCCCTGCTGTGGTCCTGAGTTGTTCCTGTACACAAAGGCTGTGCTGACCAGCTAGTTCGTAACCCTTGCTGTGTCATACCCCATAACAGCTGCTTGACAACTGCAGATTGGCTTAAAAAAAATATGGAGTGACTGCAGAGGGACTATTAGTTGGATATTTAGCGATTAGTTCAAGGGATTACCTTGTAACAAACTGAACACATTCCTCTAAGGAACTGCTCAAATTTGTGCAATCAGAAAACGCCTTGTGTCTATCGCATGGCAAAGACGGTGTGTCCTCCTTTGCTTCCACTTGTATAACTATGGCTTTTAAATAACAGACCCAGACAAGTGTGCCACAGGTTATCTCTGCCAAATCTTTCCCTGTCCCTTGCTTCTGAATGGATGACACATTAGGGATGACATTATCAGATTACTCTTGTGGTAAAGAGAAGCCTGATTGTATTTTCCTGGCCTAGCATTTGGAAGGGAGACATGTTGTACAGATATGTAAATCAAAGAATGTCAGGATATTTCTAGAATGAGCAGAAGCCACACTCATGCAATGTGAATGAGCCTCAGGAGATGGGAAGACAGCTCTGCAGAGCTGGGGCAACCTTTGCATGGTTAATGGACTAATGCCACCCTCGCATGCAGAGGATGATAGTGTGACTGTCTGACCTATTTCTTGCACCCTAACAATTGCTGCCAAATGAGCCTTACTGTAAGGTTAAGGTCATGATGTGTATTATCATCTGCAATGACTCGCCCATTCTTGTTGCTTCCATAGGAAATGCTGGCCCTGGGCTGCAGCAACTTCTTTGGATCATTTTTCAAAATCCATGTGATCTGCTGTGCTCTTTCTGTGACCCTAGCTGTGGATGGAGCTGGAGGAAAATCTCAGGTCATCTTTGGTTTAGTTTATCTACTTACCACTGGACATTTTGTCAGGGGGGAATATCTTGGATATTCCCTCTGGCCAGGGAGCCCTGAGTATTTATTTACCAAAGTTATGTCTAAGCCACTGATCCCCACCATGGTGCTCACCGGTGTGTTTCCTGCTGGCCATTTGCTTCTTCCCCAAAGGTGGGATAGGAGATGGTTTAAAGGGCCCAGGAGGTATCATCTTTATGTGTTCAGGGAGCACCCATTCAGGAACAGTTGCTTCCGTTTCAGGAGGGTACTTGGCTTACAATCTTCTAATGTTTTGTGGAACCTCCTGACATTTTGTGATAAGACTCAATACCTATGGCAGCTATTTTGTGAATGACTCCCCACCACCAATGGCCACCATTTTTATTATAGTTCCCACTAACAGTTCCCACTAACAGTTCCCCAAGTCAGTATAATGATGTTAATTAAAATGCCCATTTCATTTAGCTAGTTGCTATAGTAATATCTCAGTGCAAACCTTTAGTGCCCTATTGTTCTTTTACATCAGGTTGCCTAGAGAGAAAAACAAGAATGGTTATGATTATACAAGGAATGTATGGTTAAAACATTAAACAGTGGGTTCCACATTGCAAGCTGAAGTTTCAGGAAAGTAAGTCCTATCTGTGAAAAGACAGAAGATTTTGATTTTAAAGAACTAGGTCCAGTGCAAGATACTGTATTAAGGAAAAATGACTTAGCTGGAACAACGTGGCTACTAATAGCCTGATCCAGGGGTCCCCAACATGGTCCCCATGGGTGCCGTGGTGCTAGCTGATACTTTTCCTGGCAGCCACAAAGTGGATTTTAGGAAGTGGGCAGTGGAGATACGATTAGCTGTGCAGATTTTTACAAAGTTGCTTAGGCGGCAGCTGCCACAATAGCGCAATGATCTTCACTGTGTGACAGATGATAAACTGTGTGTATACAAGAAAATATTTATAAACAATGTTTGTTTTACAAGGCATCCTGTTAAACAGAGCCTGTAAATGTTTAAAAGTTACCGTTAGAGTTGTTCATCACCTCACTTCCCGGCAATTTGTGATTGACTCCGCCTCTTGTGGCAGCCATTCTGTGATGGGCTCCACCTTCTGTGGCAGCCATTTTGTGTTTGTATGCACCACATTGTGTCAGAATTCCAAAGGTGCCCATAGGCTCAGAAAGATTGGGGACTCCATCTGAATGACTGAAGATAAGAGACTGAATTAGGTCAGATATCTATCCTCTCCTAGTCATCACACTGACAGAAAGCCTGGAGTGTTCAGCACCAAGTTCCCCTTGTGATAAGTTACTTTTCTACCCTCAGGTGGCAAGCTTTTGTGTGGCAGTGGTCGTGATGATAACCATGCTGTCTTTGGGGACCTATCTGAGCCCTCTTCCTAAGGTAAAGATCTGTTTAGGAACATGTTTCCAGGTAGTGGTCTCTGCTGTTTAGTATTAGAATTAGACTAGTTCTCTTCCATGGTAATATTTACACCAGAGGCTTAAACTGATTTTAGAGGTCATTCCCACTTCCTTTGAGAATGCTGGGAGCTGACACTTCATGATATCAGCTAGGAATCGAATATAATTCACAGATGGCAATATTTGGGGGGGGGGGGAGCCATGACAGTAAAAACCAATATATAAATTAGTATAATAGATATGTTCTATGACTTTTAAGTAATCTGTTTCCTTTTTTAAAAATTTAATATTTATTGAAACATTTGAACAAATACAAATACCAACATCAACAATGTAAACAACAAATTGAGCCTAGAAGTGAGTACAACATATCCAAGACATTGGTTAAAGTTCAGTTCCACATTAATACCTTCAACCTTTCAAATCTCCAGTTTATGTTCTATTTCCAACCAACCCAGATTTTGGGGGTAGGCAGGAATTGGTCAAAATACAAGATCTCTTGAACAGCCTGGCTTTTGGATATCAGATAGAGGACAGATCACAGTTAACGTTCCCTTAAAGCATGCAATCCTAAGCATACTTACTGGGAAGTAAATTCCATTGAACTCAGTGGAACTTGCTTCCATGTAAAGAAGCTCAGACACAAGCTACAAACTAGAATGGAACAAGGCAAAAGGACAAAAATATGTTAGTATATGGGCTGGGACCAACAAAATGGAAGAAGCTGTTGTGAATTTTAATGTGAGTCTATTGAGTGTAAGGAAGGGGAGGCAACATGGTTGAGCCCAGTCTCATCATATCTTGGAAGCTAAGCAGGGTCAGTACTTAGAAAGGAAACCACCAATGAATACTCTACAAAGGCAATGGCAAACCACCTTTTCTTCTCACTTGCCTTGAAAGCCCTTGTTGGGGTTGCCGTAAGTTGGCTACAACTTTACAGCACTTTACATTACTTTGGTTTGGGGTCTAGTTGACAGAAAAGAGAGCAGAGTGATATGAGGACAAAATATAACATCTGGAGAATTCTTCAAGACTTTGCCAGTGAGTTTTAGCTCATCTGCAGGGCCATGTTATATTGGTTCAGCACATGTTGCCACTCCAAGCACTTTCCTCCTGTTGCAGCTGCACAAGTGTGATGATCATGTGCCTTCTGTGTCACTCCACCCAGGTCCAAGCTAGGCTCCAGAGGCAGCACCACTGTAGTCTGCCTTGGATCCGTCCAAGTGGCAGTGGCACAGAAGGCAACAACAGGTGCTAGCTATGCCTTGTGCCTCTGCTGATGCTTTGCTTGAGGGTGAACTGGCCTTGCCTTTCTGTGATCTGGATGTGCACTTAATTAGATACTGTAGTAGGAAGAAGGAACTATGCTATACTATATTATGAGCTGTTCCTTTCAAAAAGTCTACAATGGCCCCAGTCACACATGCCGGAAAATGCAGGGGGGCGTGGCTATTTGTGGCGGTGCAATTAGACCCACAACCACGCGATCAGATGCGTTGGTGGCAAACCACGGTTCCGTCCCTCGACGCGTGCGCTTCACCGAAGACGACCGGAGGGGAAAAGCCGCGGTGGTTCGATCACACAGACGGAGTCTGTTGGCAGCCCATGGCAAACTATTTGCCAGTACTTTCGGCCAGGTATTTTTTAACCACACATTTTCAGTGGCACTCCACAGGTTGGCCACGGGTGTGCTACGCCCGCCAGATGTTGCGGTGTGATCGTGCCCGGAAAATCTGCCCAACATTCGTGGCTCTCCCGCTGCAAATTTGCCGTGTGAATGGGGCCAAGGCTTACAGCTTGCTTCTGTAGTAATTGCAGCGGCTGTAGCAAAAACAGGCATATGTACTGGGACACCTGTTCTTACGGCTCTTCCATCAGTTTGTTTTGATTTTGAGTGATCTTTCTTACAGGCTGTTTTGGGAGCCTTGATAGCTGTGAATCTGAAGAATTCTTTGAAGCAACTGACTGATCCTTACTACCTCTGGAAAAAAAGCAAGCTGGACTGTGTGAGTGTCTTATATGACGCCATTTATGGAGGGGGGGGGTGAACTTATTGATCAGTATGGGATGAGTTTGTCCCAACACCAGCATGAAGACTAAATTGTGTGTGAGATTTATGTAAGCTTTCTAATCAAGTGTTTTGTCCTTTATACTTTCTCATATATGAAATTCTTTATGGAACTTGTCAACAGAATTGGGTTCCTGTGAATGTTAGTCTTTTGTTTAAACAAATATCATGTCCATGTGGAGTAATAGTTAAACATGTTTCTACTTGCAAAAGAAAACAATCCAAATTTTACAAGCATTCAGAAGCCAAATTAAGGAAAAGCAGAAAATTAAAAGGAATCATGTTCAATATATCCTATTGCATATTCTGTTTGACAGAACTTTATTTCCTCGTGGCATACCATTACAGTTCCCTCACTGGAGTTTTGAATAGCTTGTGAATTGATACTTTTTTCTTTAAACCAATACACCTAAGCACTCTCAAAATTGGTGCATGTAATACATAGACTTTAACAATTATTAGTATTTCTAAGATCTACTAAGGTGCTAATTACCTTTATGAGCATTATTACCAACAATAGCCATATTAGCCCTGTCATATCTAGAAGTCCTGAAGTCCTCTAGGGAAGGAGAAACTCTTGGAAAACGATAAGAGTTCCAGACACTAGTTGATGTAAAAGTCACTAATACGAGGGCCATGAAAGATATACAAAAATTGTCATCAGATATTTTGTTTGAGAAAGATTTATGGCAGTAAGTTTGAGGCAATTCATTACAAGTTTCTCCAGAAACTGTGTTATCAGCCAAGAGTGTAATACAAATTGTCCAAGCCACAGACATGAATGGATTTCTTAAAATGCTATTCAAATAATAGGCAAAGCAAATTATATAATGTTTTGAGTATATGCACGTGTCAAAAGAACACATGGATCAGACCATCTATTCCAGCACCCTGTTTGATACACAGACCAGTGAGATGTCCCCAGAAGGTCAACAGACAAGGTCTGGATGCCAGCACCTCCCCCTCATTGTTGCCCCTTAGCACTTGTATTCATACAACTTCCATTTCATCACTGTGGCTAATAACCTTTGTAGGGTTGCCAACTGGTCTGGGGAAAATGTCCTGTCCCTTTAATTGAGGCTTTAAATGATGTTGTTTACCAGGTGATGTCATTTACCTCCATGCCACAAAAAGCTTCACCTGCCAATTTCCACACATTAAGCTTCTGTTTAAAGGACAGGGCCAGACCAATTGGCAACCCTACAACTTTGGATGGACTGAAATTGTCCAATCCCATTTTAAAGCCAGCTAAACCTGTGCCTATGACTATATCCTCCTATGGCAGTGAAATACACAAGTTAATTTCTTTCTAAATGACAAAGTATTTCCTTTTGTCTTCCTGAATCTCCTGCCCATCAACTTCATTGGGAGTCCAAGTTCTATTATGCTGGGAGAGGGGGGGAAAGTCCTCTCTATTCACTCTCTCCACCTCATGTATACTTTTATAAACCTATGTCATATCACCCCAATTATCTTTTCTCTAAACTAAAAAGCCCCAAACTCCTTAGCCTCTTCTTGTACCAAAGCTGCTCCAACCCTCTGGTCACTGTGGTTTCCCTTTTCTCTAGCTCTTCCCTGCAATATCTTTTAAGAGATCCAGAAACCAAAAAAGTACACTGTTTTTCAAGTGAGGCTGTACCACAAATATATACAAGGGCATTACAATACTGATTGTTTTGTTTTAAGTTCCTCCCTTAATTAATGCCCAGCACAGAACTTGCCCTTTTTTTTTTACCATTGCCATACACTGATCAGGGCTATTTTTGGGCAGGAACGCACAGGAATGGAGTTCCGGCTGGCTCCCAAGTTGGCCACGCCCAGCAGGAACTCATTAGCATAATAGGCCACACCCAACAGCAGAAACTCATTAGGATTGGCTAAAATTAAGGGTGTGTGGCCTAACATGCAAAGGAGTTCCTGCTACAAAAAAGCCCTGGGTTTTGACAACAAACAAGGTAAACAGAATAACAAACGAAAGGTGGGTGTGGCTGGATAACCACACTTCTGGTAACATGGGGGTGCAGCCTAATGTGCTAATGAGCTGTGCTGTCAGGGGTGTGGCCCAATATGCTAATGAGTTCCTGCTGTTGGGTGTGGCCTATTATGCTAATGAGTTCCTGCTGGGCTTTTTCTACAAAAAGAGCCCTGCGTGACTGAATCAACATTTTTGTATCCACTATGATCCCAAGATTTCTCTCCTGGCTGGCCACCACCTGTTCATCAGCATGTTTTTGTCCCAGTGTGCCTCACTTTCAGTTATTCATGTTGAACCTTTTTGCCACATCGTTGCCCCCTCATCCACTTTGAAAGATCCTTTTTGAGCTGTTCTGAGCTAGCTTTGATTGGTACCATCCTATTTCATGAGAATAATTAACATCCCCCACAAACTTGGCTGCTTTGCTGCTCAGTCTCAATTCTATGAGATTTATGAATAAATTAAATAGTACAATATCAATCCTTGAGGAACCACCTTAAAAAATCTGAGTAGAATAAAATAATATTTATCATTTCTGCATTGAAGCGGCTTCCTCTTAAAGTACAACTTGTAGATTTTTTTAATGGGTTTTTTTATCATGTCCTGTATAGATTGGGCACATTACCACAGGGAAAGTTCATGTGTGGAAGCCCATTCATTGCAAGGGGGTTTACACGGGAAAATTAAGGACACCACCACAGAGATTTTTAAAGAGGTTTTGGAAGAGCATTTGATAAGCTCTTGAATCCTGGAGTACCAGCACAGATTCTATTGTGTGCTTGTTCATCTCCTGTGTTCAGCTAAAGGATTTTATGGGCATCAGCTTTTTTCTAGATAAATGTTACGTAGTTACTCTAGAAGAGTACAGGTGATAAATGAGCATAGCTAACTACTGACATCCTAACTTGGTTTAATGAGTCTAGGCACCATTTGCAGAGGTTAGGTCCACAGACGGATTGCAGGAGAGTGGGAGAGATGAGGCAAGCACTGGGGCCTTGGAAAAGCAGCCAGGAGATGATCCCCCAGTTGACAACCCACAGAAATGAGTCAGTGACTCAATTCATCCTTGTCTTGATCATTTATTAGCATGAAGATAAAGACAGACAGGAGTATAATAGGGACATGGGGATGCTAGTACATGCTCAAGGCAAGGATGAGCTGAGTCACTAGCTCTTTTCTGGGGGATCAGACTGTTATAAACCCCTTTTCTGATGTCATCTCTGCCATCTTTCTTGGTAAGGAATCTTCATGTGTGCTGCTCATTTTGCAGTTCTTTTAAGCATCTTGCAAAAAAAAAAGTGTTCTCAGATTTTTTTTTTCTTAGCAAGGATGGAAGGTTAGAACCTTGCTCCTACCAAAATAAAATTTATACCTAAGGAATGTCCAAGTGTGGTTAGATTCTGCATTAGAGACCAGATTCTGCAACATAGATGTCAGCCCTTGAATGCAAGTGTCTAGAGTCAGTCACAGTGCACAGCCATATGTGTTCCATGTCGGTCTGTGTTTGGAACACATCACATAAGTGCCCACAGCCCTCCCCCTCTGCAGTGCAAGGAAGTGACCTGCTGTGTTTATGTCTTTCCACAGATGGTCTGGGTGGTGAGCTTCCTCTCAGCCTTCTTCCTGGGCTTGCCCTTTGGACTTGCCGTGGGAGTGGGGTTTTCCATCCTAGTAGTGGTTTTCCATACCCAGTTGTAAGTATTATCTTGGAAATGATCTGCAATGGAAATGCACAAGGTTAGGCATTTTCCAAATTAAAAAAAATGTTTGGGTCAAAATTTCAAAGACAGGTGTGACTGGCAGCTCCTGGAAAATGAAAGTGCCAGTCCCTGTTAGTAAATAATGATGTCATTTTAAGATAATAGCTGCCTACTATACCCACGAATATATCCCTCAACTGGTTTAAATCTGAAGGTAGTTACGTCACACATAACAACACCTGTTCTCTTTAACCTCACACCTGTTATACATAAACAGCAATCCACTTACTGCTGTTGACCCTCTCAGGATAAGAGATAAATGGATTGGGAGAGAAATGTTTCCATCAATGGAAAGCAATGAGGTAAAGATGAAAAGTGGGCAAGATTTGTCTCCCCTCTCTCACACACTGTTTTTTGGAGTAAAATATAGACACCCATCCCACCTGCACCAGTGGGGCTGACACACATGGCCACCGTCTCTTAATTGTAGAGTTTGGCCCTGGTGAAATGGTCCATGGTGTACCCATAAAGGTAAAGGTAAAGGTTCCCTTGCTCGAAAGCCAGTCAAATCCGACTCTAGGGTTACGGTGTTCATCTCCATTTCAAAGCCGAAGAGCCAGCGCTGTCCGAAGACGTTTCCGTGGTCATGTGGCCGGCATGACTAAACACCAAGGCACACGGAACGCTGTTACCTTCCCACTGAAGTGGTACCTATTTATCTACTTGCAATTTCTTGCTTTCGAACTGCTAGGTTGGCAGGAGCTGGAACTAGAGACGGGAGCTCACTCCGTCATGCGGCACCCGAGTCTCGAACTGCTGAACTACTGACCCTAATCCAGCCAGACCTATACTTATCTTTTTGTTTGACCCTCACTCTGTAGAAACAAAGAGCAGATTTGCATTACCTTCATAATGAAGAACAGCATGTATTCAGGCTCTTGCTTGCCTTTTGGAGGTTGGAAGAATGGCGTAGATTTGGGGCTGGATGTCAGAAGCCATTCTCCACCTCCTACTTGCTGAAGCCAGGCTAGACAAAGCAAAGAGAGAGTAACAGCAAAGCAGGAGAAAGCTTTGCTTTCTTGTGGATGAGCATATATGGTCTGTATCTGCCTCATTCATGTACTCATCAGTGTTGGCTGCAGTAGTACGAGAAAAGCAAAAGTCTAGGTCTCCTGCTGGAGCTTCTCTCTCTCTCTTTCTGCTCTGTTGATGCCCAGCTCAGACAAGCAGCTGCTAGAGTCACTCCAGAGGGTCCTAAATGCTGTGAGGGATCCCCCCAGCCCTTGTAGCCCAAATACAGTTCATAGAGAGCTGCAGTCCACATATTCCCTGATTGAAGATCGATCCAGATGGTCAGCCATGTTGGTCTGAAGCAGTAGAACAAATTTAGAGTAAAGTGGCACTTTTAAGACCAAGAAAGGTTTATTCAAGGTATGAGCTTTCGTGTGCAAGGCACACTTTTTCAAGTACATTGGAATGGTAGATGAGGTTCTAAACTTATAGACAGGGATTTATCAGCAAATTAGCGTGTAACATGATGATGTTTTAAGTTATGTAAAATGAAAAACTAAATAAGAAGTTAAGGTTATATGGTCAACACTTGTAAAGCAATAGATATGTCACAATAGTGCTTAGCTGGTCTTAAGGGTGTCACTGGACTCTAAATATATCCCCTCATTATGCTGTTGTTCCCCATGCTAGGAATCCTGATAAACTAACCATGCAGTGATACCCTTGAACTCAGATTCCCGCATTCACTTTTGAAGCAGTCATCATGAGATGATGTTACTTTTTCCACTACACATGTTGAGTCATCCTGGTGAATGTACCCATCTTGTGACAGTTATCTAATCATGATGTTAAAAGTTTGACATCCAACAGGCATTTTGATGTCCTATCAATTCTCACCACATGGGGGTGTACTCCTAACAAAAGTCAATGTGAAATTTTGTTACCTACCATATTTGCAAGACAAAGGATTTTCAGTGCCTGTGAATAGCATTTAGGTAGAAATAAAATTAATAATATCTTGTGGTAACAAAGAAGGAGAATTGATTGGACAGGGCTTTTTTTAACGTAGTGGACAATTTATCAAGCAGACACACCCTCTCCTCCTTCCCTTAGCAATCCAGCGAAGAACATGCTAATTGTGTCTTCAACAACAAGTTATATCCATCCTCTTCTTCTGGTTGACTTGCATCATTGAATTTTAGTTACATTAAAGTTATTTCAGGCAGCCCTTTTTCACTTCTCATGTTTTGACATTTTCTTCCATTTTTCTCTTTAGTCGCAATGGCTGTATCCTTGGCCCAGTAGCTGCTTCTGATATATACAAGAACCCCAAAGTCTACAATAAGGTAAATGTGGCAGCAAAATTCAATTTACCCCAAGCCAGGCTATTTTATCACATGAGGTGATGACTCAAGGCATCTATTTCTGGGGTCATTTTTTACTTGCAGTATTTGTGGCCAAAGTTCAGTGGAGGTTTCAAATACAACATTGACATGACCTTTTTTATTTTAAAATGTTTCCTAATTTCAGAATTGTGAATAGCCCTGATTTATTAAAAGTTGGGGGAGTCCTATGCTGAACTAGGTAAATGCTGAGTAAAAGAAGCTGGAGGGATGGTTAAGCAAGATTTCCACAGCTTAAATATCAGGACTTCAGTGCCCAGGTTCAGCCCTTTTCAATTGCTACATTTTTGGTGCTCAAACTGCATATAAGGGGATACTGTGCTACGTGTCCTGCCAATACATGTTGTTACCTTTTTGCACATATCTTCCAGTTTTGGAATGTGCAAACACATATTTAAAAATCTGAGTTTCCAAACATGCATACCAAAAGCTGGAAAATACGTATGTTGCCCTATTCACACAAAATGACAACTGTGCATATTGGGAGGATCATGGTTAGTCCAATCTGTCAAAATGGGAATGTCAAAATGGGAATGTTACTCTCCAATGGTTAGGAGAAACAGCAAATTATGCAAAGTTTGGAAATAAGGCACATTTGCTTAACTTGCACAATACAGAGAGATTGCAGCATTCAAGTCTTATTTCCTTTTCAGCAGAGTGTCTCCCTGATTTGCTTTAATTTTTTTGCAGGATCTCTTCTTCCAATTATTCCCCCCCCCACGCATATTGACACCATCATCTTGTGCAGCACCTGAAACTTGTCAATCTCTTTCCTGCAGGTCCATGAAATAGAAGGGATTAAAATTGTCACTTACTGCTCCCCACTGTACTTTGCTAATTCAGAGATATTCAGGGAGAAAGTAATAGCCAAGGTAAGAAATCATCTCAATGCTCAGATAATGTCATGACACATTAGCTTTTCTGTTAAAACACATCCATTTGTTTTCTCATTGCACAACAGCAAATATCTTCTAAATAAAAACATATGGATTAATGCAGAAGGCAAATCTTCCTTCTCTCTTTACCTTCATTATATGTCCTTTCTGACAGTTACAGTGTAATCCTAGCTCTGGTCAATGCCAACAGGCCACTCTAAGAGACGGGATACCCTACAGATGGCTGCCAGAAGACCGTAGTTGGTGCACTGGGCCATATGGAAAGAGATGGTCCTTAAAAGGGTGTAACTCTGCTTATGATAGCACAATTAAACTGACAAAAGTGCCTTTCTGCTGGCATGTCTGTATGTAGTTAATTTTGGTTACCCTGGGATGTTAATATGTTTGTTGGGATGATTTAGGCATCATTGAAAACTGTGAAGTCTCCATGGTTAATTTCACAGTTTCGAGATGCCCTGAAGATAATCCCAAGAATTTGGGATTTCTTCCCCAAAATTTCCCCTTCTGTACCCTTAAAAGTTGCAGAGTCACCATTTAAGTACTAGATTCATGTTCAGACATATATAAACTGAACCAGGATGAACAAACCAGCTCATTATCTTCTTGTTTAATTAGACAGGTGTAGATCCCATAAAAGTTTTCTTGGCCAGGAAGAAGTATGTGAAGAATCAGGAAAAAGTTGCAATGGCAGCGACAGTGGCAGTACAAAAAACAAGCAAGCTAAAATCCGTCTTCAGGGAAAACAAGGTAATTTAGCTTTTTTCTTAGTGGTCAAAGATATTGTGTCCAAATAATGGATTAGAAAAGCCTTGTTACATGAGAAACACCAGTCATACTTTGGATCCAGACAGCCACGTTGCCCAAAGGCTGCAGAAACAGCTGTGACTGGTTGGAGATGGACCAGAACTGCCAGCCCTACATTAAGCTCCTTCCTATGACCATGGCACACCCATCCAAGTGTTATTGCAACTGCTGAGGTCAACAGCAGCATCCACAAATGTTAGGCCAGGCAAGAATTTTTCCTATGTGTTATATTATTATAGGGTCAAATATACCACTGGAATACTTGGGGGGGGGGATGTTGAGCTGCCACCAGTGTTCCCTCTAAGCTGAGTTAGTGTGAGCTAGCTCACAGTTGTTAAGCCTCCGGCTCACACATTTTTCTCTTAGCTCAGGACGGATGGCTCCAGAGCAAACTAATTTATGCAGCAGCCAAATCGCTCACTCACAACTTTAATGCCAGGAGCTCACAAAATAGGATTTTTGCTCACAAGACTCCACAGCTTAGAGGGAACATTGGCTGTCACACACCACTTTAAAAATAGAACTGGGCTCTTCCCTCCTTCCTTGCAGTGGCTATGGGTGAGGGTTCAATGGATGATCCACGTGCAGCTACCGCACAGTTCCTCCTTTAAACGAGAGAAACATAGGTTTATATTTTCTTTGAAATAAAGGGAAGTGGTCTGGGTGCTCTCCTTTACTGCACAGGCTTTCTGCAGCCCATGTGGGGGGCAGGGGGAATCCTCATGTGGAAAATGCTTGAAATAGCTAGAGACAATGAGTCTGCTCTATGGGTCTTGCAGTTTCCCCTTGTATGCATTGTTTTAAAAAATGATTAACTTCCAAGAACAAGGGTTCCATCTAGAACTGCTGGGCTGCTCTCTCCATCTGCCCTTGAGTATCACACCACAGCCGAAGTGTTCCGGTTGGTCATGACACCTGAGCCCCAGACACCTTAACAAATTGAGGTTAAGTCCTTTCCCAATAACTGGGATTCTGAAATGGGATTAACTTGTGGTCAGGAAGAACGGTTACTGGGGGAGAAAGCTGACTTCGGTTTGTTAAGGTGTCTGCATTCAGACATCATGGCAAACTTTAGTTGAAGACTTTGTATTCAGTTCTGACACACAATATGATAGGAAGAGGGAGGAGGAAGGGGGAGAGAACATGTGAGCCTGACAGTTACCAAGTTTGGATATGTCATGAGCAAACTGAGATGTGTTTATGATGTCTGTGTTGAGCCAAGAAAGCAGTAGGGTTGCCATTTCCATGTTGGGAAATACTTGGAGATTTTGGGGGTGGGGCCTCAGGGGGCTGAGGTTTGGGGCATAATGCCATAGAGTCCAACTTCCAAAGTGGCCATTTTCTCCAGGTGAACATATCTCAGTCGCCTGGAGATCAGTTGTAATAACGGGAGATCTCCAGCCACTACCTGGAGGTTGGCAACCCTGGCAAAGCTTATACAGAAAGCCACGCACATAAGCGTGGCCATCCTGTTCTGGTGTAGAATGCCATGTTAGTAGAAATGAATCTACGTGGGGTAGAAGAGGTTGGGTTGCTCAGCTAAGGAGAAAAGTGCTTGGACATAGAGCACACAGGAGGGAGGAGGGCTCTGCATTCCAAACCCGTGTACTCCACCAGTTGCTACTGAAAACAGAAACCTGACTCAGCATTGGGGGTGAGGTCCAACATTATCTCCAACCATAGAAATGAAATAAAACCGCTATACCTTTTTATATTAGTATCTAACACCTTATTAATTAAATAAAATTCACACAAAATGGAAGTGATAAATTCTGGATGAGTCTCCAATCAAATGCCAATTGCTTTTATATATGGTGGGGACGTCCAAAAATTAGAAGGGCTTTTTGGTAAAGAAATGTTGAATACTGTCAGCCTGATGACTGCGCGCCTCGAATGAAATAACCATTATGAAGTGATATGGGATCTATTAACCATGGCAAAAATATTTATAGCAACTAAAAGGTGTGGACATAAACCTCTGATAACAAAAGAATTAATTGCCAAAATTTAAAAGCCCCTAGAAATGTTTCAAAGACTTCAGTAGTTTTTATTGCATTTATAATTTGAAGATATAATTGAGATTTCCATGACATGTTTTGTAATGTGAAATAACTGTAATTATCATGTTATAATTTTTCAATAAGAAGTAGAGAAAATGGTATCCCTCCTCCCACACCTTTATGTATGATAGGGCAGTTCTATGTTAAAACACTATTGTATCTGATTTGGCCCAGGGCTTATTAAAAAAAAAAAACACCAATGTATATCTTGCTGACTTCAGCTTAAAGCAAACAACCAGGGTCACCTTGGAAGCTAGAGAACATTTCTTCAGCAGCAGCAGCAGCAGCAGCTTTTCAGGAAAAACATTAGGTGCCAGTACTGCACAGAATACATACTTTAGATACTTGCAGTACTAGGACATAAGCAACAAGGTTTTCCAGACTTGACCATCTGAATGATAGAAGAAAGATGCCCTCCATTATGGTGGCCATTGTAGTCCTAAAAAGTATTATGTAGCCTTTGTTTAAGGTAGCTGTGACAGACATTTAAAATGCTGTTTCCTAATGCAGTAAACAGCGTTCCGTGCGCCTTGGTGTTTAGTCATGCCGGCCACATGACCACGGAAACGTCTTTGGACAGCGCTGACTCTTCGGCTTTGAAACGGAGATGAGCACCGCAACCCTAGAGTCAGATTTGACTGGCTTTCGAGCAAGGGAACCTTTACCTTTACCTTTTAATGCAGTAAAACCAGAAAAGGGAGGTGAATAGTTAACTCTGCTCTAGAATGTTGAGCTTGAGTGACAGGCTGCTCCTTTTCTCTGATTGGCTAGCACCAGATGAGGGAAATATAAAATCAACTGTGTGCTAAGGGGAGGGAAAGTTTGTTTTGAGTTCAGTAGCAGTTACTGTTTAGTAAAGGAAAAGTTCAGATAAAGAAGTGGATATCTGAAGAGTATGTCAGACAGGTTCACCTTTTGAATAAAGGGAGAGACTCCTGGTCTTAGCTGTGTTAAACACAACCTGAGAAAGAATTCCATCCAAGAATTCAGAGTCTAGTGTCAGTGAAAGCTGAAGTACATTTTCACACAGACGCCAAGAACTGGGGTTTGAGATTTTGGCAAAGAGTGACTGGGTAGCAGGCTGAAGCTCCCAATCAGGCCAAAAGGAATAGAATTATATTTTCAGGGAAGAAATATAAATCCTGTCCAGTTATACAGGGAATTGGCACTGAGGCAGCCCCTGGTCTGTTGTGAAAGGAAACAGTTATAGACTACTCTGGGGAAAGAAGACACATTGTGATTTCAGAAAAGGGGAAAGAATTTAATACACACACACAAAAGAGTGACCTTCCAAGAACATCTGAACAGTTAATAAAAAACTATATGCAGAAACATTGTAACTGAAACCTAAGTACTCAATCAACTATCTCTCACAGATAAGAACCAAGAGTTTGTAAAAATAAGCTGCTATAACACCATCTTCTCTGTCAACTGAAAAATATACGGTTTTTCCAACAACATTTTCCTCAGCCTTTCCAATACCTGACTGCTCCATACCATCCCCGCCTATTAAATAAAATATTTATTATTGTTCACAGCTATAAGGTCTCCAGTGTCATTTCAAGGGATCAAAAAAGAGGGCTCTTGTTTTCTCCTGACAAGTTCCTGGGCTGGGAAAAAGCCAAATTAGGTTCTGTCAAAGGGTGGGACATTCTGATTTATAAAGCCACAAATATTATCACACTAGTGGGGTCCAGCTCACTACCTGAAAGGAAGTAAGAATTTTGGTAGGAAAAATCTGCCCAAGAGTGTGGAGAGTAACAGGGGATTCATCATAGTAGTCATGGTGATTCTCACCTAAGTGAAAATCTGGCAAAGAGAAAGTTGGAAAAAGTCTGTGATTGGCTACAAAGAGCACAGAATAACAGTTCTGTTGCAATGCAGGGCCTTTAACAGATTAATCTGCTCCAAAATTTCTGCTCCAAGGCAGGCCCTTTAACAGATTAATCCACACCATGTGGAAGCAAATGAAAACACTGTTCTATGATTTAGGGGGAGGGAACCTGGTTAATCCTAGTTAAACCCAAATTCATGAGAGTAAGTCATGCATGCTACATCAGATGCTCAGTGATTTCCTGAGAGTAGACAGTTTATCCTGAACGTACTATTTCTTCCTTTGTACAGACCATATCACTGCAAGAGCTCCAGAAGGACTTTGAAAACACTTCTCCAACAGATACCAACAACAACCAGACAGCCGCCAATGGCACCAACATTTCCTACGTAGCATTCAATCCTTCTGGGAACACTTCAAGGCAAGCCAATACTTCTTCTGCACAGGGAAGCACGACTAGTCATCGAAGCAGCACCTGCAGCAGTATCCCAGCCTCTAATGTTGATCCAATGACTACAGCACCCCCATTTGTCAACTTCCACACCATTATCTTGGACATGAGTGGAGTTTGCTTTGTAGATCTGATGGGTACAAAAGCTCTGGGAAAGGTGAGTTTGTATCCTGCCTCCAGTTTATTTTGTTTTGTTGACCTTGTTTTATTAATTGAAGCTATGTTTAAAATTTTCCATTGAACTCAACTAGATAAATGTAAACAGAACTGTAGGCTTTTTGGTAGCTGTAGCACGTTGAATTTAGTCACTCGTAAGGGCACAATTGGCAGCTGAACAATCAGTTAGAAGTCATACCTGTGGAACACAAGTCATTATGACATAGCTATGGCCAGGATCAGATTAAGGCTAAGAAGTTAGTGGTCACTTCCAGACAGGGATGGTATTTTGCAGTTTATCCATTGCTGGTGTGGCTGAAGATTAAGTGGATCAGCAATGGGGCTTCCATACAGCAGGTTTCCCACCCAGTGTTCCTGCCTCAATCCCCCCCTAAAGTGACCACACCCTCCCCTGGGCCACCCAGGCTTTTGCGATGTATTTTTTAAACTGGCACTAGAATACTGTTATATTGATATATCATTGTAATAATAGGTACAGCTGGTCCTCTGAATTTCATTTTTTTTATTACATCTCTAGCTTGATCCCTTGTGAACATATGCCCTTTTCATTATGGCTGAGTTCATTCTGGCAGTTTGCCCCGATATAGGCACGAGCCAGAAATGTTTCACAAGCAGATTAAAGGGGCCATTCACACAGGCACATCTGTCAGGTGTTCCCCAGCCATACTCAACCTGTCTTGTAACGCTTCCGAGTTTAAAAGATACCAGGAGAAAGTGTTATCAAACCCTGGAAAGCACAATTATCCCACGTCCACCCCGCATCAACAAAGTGCGAGCGCCAAAAGCCACAGTTTTTCTTGTGTGCTTATGCGCATAAGTGCATATCCAGATCACTAAAAAGAAAGCTGCACCTTACAGCTGTGCCTCTGCCAGGGGCAGGCCAACAGTGTGAACCCTCCCTTGCACCTCCTCCCCAGTATGCTCCCGCATCAGTCGGTGCAGTGTGACCTGGAAAACCCGGAACAGTTTGTTCCGAGTCTTTTTTGCCACGACTCCCTCCCACTTCAAATTGTCAGTCTGAACTAGGCCCATATTTCTGCAAGGGAAGAGGCTAGATACTTACTTTTTAATAAAAGGTGGGAGGGAGTTCAGAGATATGACAACATTCTAGTGCCAATTTTTTTAAAAAGCCCCAGTGATGGGAGAGGAAATGGCTGCCATGTGAGTAGGAAAATCCAAATCTTCCTACATACACAGCAGCCATCCTGGCTTTTTTGCAAACTTTCCCAAAACTTTGGAGCAAAACAGGTTTGAGGAAGATGAGAGAAAAGCTGGGGAAACCCCTGTAGGTTCACAAATGCGCCACAATGCTGTGAGGAAGCAGGAATAAAAATCTGCTTCTCATTGAACTTGGGACAGATAGCCCATATAAAAGACACCAGTAATAGGTGAGAAAGAGGCTGATGTCTAGGGATGGGCATGAACTGGAAAAATGCGATTTGTGTCGGTTCGAGGCTGAACCATGAAACTGAATCGAACTGGGAGGTTTGCTCACAAACCAAACCAGTTTGTGGTTCATGGCCTTGCAGACCCCATTGAAAAGGGACCACAGTCCCTTTAAATAGGGTTTGCAGAAAGCCCAGCAGGCTGCCTTTCAGTTTGGTGTAGTGGTTAAGTGTGCGGACTCTAATCTGGGAGAACCGGGTTTGATTCCCCACTCCTCCACTTGCACCTGCTGATGTGACCTTGGGTCAGTCGCAAGCTCTGGCACAGCTGTCCTTGAAAAAGAGCAGTTTGTGTCAGAGTTCTCTCAGCCCCACCCACCTCACAGGGTGTCTGTTGTGGGGAGGGGAAGGGAAAGGAGTTTGTAAGCCGCTCTGAGACTCCCAAGTGAAGGGCGGGGTATAAATCCAATCTCTTCTCTTCTTCTTCTTCTTCTTCTTCTTGTTTCAGGCTATCTTGCGATATAACCAGTTCCTGATACACTGCTGTAGCTCTTACAGGAACTTTTATATGCCCTCCTACACAGTCAGTGGGAGGGAATGTGACATGGTATAACCCAGTCTTGTCAGATCTCAGAAGCTAAGCAGAATTGGGATTTGGATGGGAGATGACCAAGGAAGACTCTACAGAGGCAGACAATGGCAAACCACCTTGGCTTCTCACTTGCCTTGAAAGCTCCTTGCCCAGGGTCACCATAAGTCAGTTATGACTTGACAGCTCATATGTATGTACATACATAGTCAGTGGGTCATCAAGGATCTGAACAGCCAGAATCTGGAGGAAGTCACAGAATAAGAACATTCTGCAGCATCTTTAGAACTTTAGATAGAAAGCTATCATGTGAGCCAGTAGTTGGGGTGCCCAAAGTTAAGATTCAGTGTTCTTTACAGCCATTTAAAAGACAGTTTTTCAATAAAACTAAGTACCTAGTATTTCCATTCTTGTTCCAGTGGTTAGGTTTAATGCCCCTCGTTGTGTCAATGGAAGTTGAGCGCTTTTGAAAATCTTGTGCTGTGTACCACTTCAGATGTTTTAACCATATAATTCTGAAAACAATTCTCCTGCAGTTTCTGGAATTTGCAGTACATCCTAAATGAATGGTCTGTCAGATGCTGTAAAAGCGAATTAGCATGTGGAGAGTAATATCCCCCCCCCCATTTTTTGTCTCCTTTTATAGCTGTGCACTAACTACCAGAGGATTGGAATTAAAGTTTTCCTGGCAAATGTGCCTGGTAAGAATATTGCCTCATGTGCCATGCTTAACCTATCTTCCATTTTTTGCAGCCTCCAAGAGGTGTAGGATCACTGGAAATGAAAGACAGATTTGGATGTAATCCAGTGAGAGTGCTTCTAGAGCAGCCCTTGCTGTTTTGAAAATGTTGTCTAGCATTTCTCCAAATTTGACTGCATCCTCTTCTAGGTGGGAGAGACTGGCCAATGGTGTGGGATGGCATTTATCAGAGGAATAAGATAAACCTTGAACCTTTCAGTGATTCTCTAAAATCATCTTGTTATTAAGATGAAATCTTTGCCTGTCACAGCAAGTACCAAGCGCATATATACCTTTGGGCTCAAATTCCAAAGAGCTTGAAGTAACAGCTCTGAATATTGCTCAGTTCCTTTCATTAATTCATAGGTGAGGTATGAAGCCTAAAATGGCTTAAGCTAGTAAATGGCAACAAAATTAATTTGATAGAAGGCCCTGTTGATTTTATATCTCATCTCATAAATGTGTGTACGTGTGCTTAAGACTACTGGTCAAGCAAGCCGAAATAAATAAATATATATATATATCATCTGAAATCACAGTGCAATTTCTCATGTTTTAGACCAGGGGTCCCCAACATGGTGCCCCTGAGAAACCATGGTGTCCGCCAACACATTTCCTGGTACCAGCCAAGTTTTTAGAAAGGAAGGCAAGTGAAACCTCCTCCTATGGTGGCCATTTTGTGGGTGCTCCCACCACAGAATTCCAAAGGTGCCCACAGGCTCAAAAGGGTTGGGGACCCGTTTTAGACTATGCAAGGAAAGCTATGGCAGTATGTTTTCCATATCTGGAAGCACACATGGAATTGTTTCTTCCAATGAATTTTCCCATGAATGCAGTGCCATTCCCCAGAAAGTACAGCTCCATTTCAGAGCAAAATCTGGAGTTCTTTCAACTTGTATTCAGAGAAAACAATCAAGCTTTATCTACAGCAGGCATGTCCAACTTGGAACAGGTAGTGATCTATTTTTTCCGGCCAAAAGTGCCGGTGATTTACCACCATGAAAATAGTTTCAAATTAGTTTCAAATTAGATTTTAACCCACTAAAGTTGGGTTCCACTGCCCGCCCACATTTATAATGCACCTTCTGTCATTTACTGGTAAGCAAAACAAGCAAAAACAAAACAGAGAGATGAAGATCCAGAAAGAACTGCAAACATTTTTTATTTTTTATTGAGTTATAACTTTCTTTAACTGTGGGGCTGGTGATCTACCTCTGACCCCTCCACGATCTACTGGTAGATCGCAATCTACCTGTTGGACATACCTGATCTACAGTATTGATAACCGGCATCCCCTAGTTTGCATAGATTCTAATGCCTCTTTGCTCACAGGGCAAGTGAGAGTCTGGCTGATTAAGTCTTAGTCTATTAACTGTATGTGCTTTAGTCAATTAGTTGATCAATTACATTTGCACTGGAGTAAAGGCAATTCTTTCAGAAGCAAAAAAAAAAGTGTGCATCCATTTTTTTAGATGAGGCATGCATGTGCTTGATTTTAGAGAAGGCATTCCCCAGTCCCCTCTGTATGTGATGTACTGATTGATTAGCTTTGTATGCATTGGCAAAAATCAACACAAATACTTCCATTCCTACTGTATACCATGGTATAAATTTACAAGTGCACTTGCGTACAGTATTGTTTGGGGACCAGAAAGGCACCATTCAGAAGATGGTGCCAATTTGCTTATGCCCACTGGTTACCCTCCTTGTCTTCTTCTTCCTCTTTTTTTAAAGGTAGGCTATATGGGTTTTTTAATGGTAATGTGTTAAGTTGTCTGTGCTTTTAGCTTCCTAGATGCAATGGAACATCTTTTCTCTAAATAGACAATGGCTTTGAATAGGCTTCTAATCTTCAGAAGGGTGTGAAGCTTCAATTGCATGTGAAGGTCAGATTTATGATTCCTCCTTCCTTCTCCCAGCCTCACAGGTGGCAAGTCTGAGCAAAAGGAAAAATGTAGGGGAGGAGCTGCTTTACCCATTCTCTTCCTGCCTCTTCTGCTTAAAACTGCCCTCTCCCCAGCGGGTGGAGGGCAGATTAGCAAACAATGAAAGGGGCAAGTAAATAAATAGGTACCACTTCTGTGGGAAGGTAACAGCATTCTGTGTGCCTCAGCATTTAGTCATGCCGGCCACATGACCATGGAAACATCTTTGGACAGCGCCGGCTCTTTGGCTTGGAAACAACACCCTAGAGTTGGATTTGACTGGCTTTTGAGCAAGGGAAGCCTTTACCTTTACCTAGTGTCTCATCATTCCACAGTGGTTGTTTAGATAGCTGAAGGTGTTATGATGTACATTGCTCCATAACGAGGTCTATTTATAACCAGAAGAAAGGATTCACAAAGAGTTTGTGTTGTTTTGTTTTTGAAAAAAATATCACAAAGTCAAATGGAACAATAGTAATAGGAGAGTTACATGGCTGAGGGATTGGGTGTTTTTGTTATGCACAACCACATTTATTTTCAGTCCATTGGTTTTCTTTTTTGGAGCTCATTAGTTATCATTGACAGTTGTAAATATGTGTCTTTACTTAACCATCAGAGGTGGAATTATGCTTAGAATCCCCTGGACTTCATTGTTGCCAATAGTGCATAATTGTTATATCAGAGCAAATTAAAGCAGATCAGTTAAAGCAGATCAGATTAAAGAAAGCTGGAAAGACAGAAGTCATTCCATAAGGTGGGAGCCACAGCAGAGAAAGCACATGTACAGGCAGTTGTTGATTTTGCCCATTTGCAGTCTGGCACCCGCAGAAATTCCTGCTTACATGAGTGGAGATGTCATGGTGGAGCATAGGGAGGGAGCTGGTCCTGTAAATTAGAGGGGCCAAGACCATGAAGGGCTTTATATGAGCCAATATCTTAAACTAAGCTAGGTAACAAATGGGCAATCAATGCAGTGTCTGCAGAATGGGAGTAATGCACATGTTCCATCTAGCGACCGCTAGTAAGAGACTTGTGTGCCATGTTGGCCTTTGCTGGTCTGATGTTATTTTCAATCTATTGAGCAGTCAGAGTTTCCACAGTAAACAAGACTTGTCTCAAATAAGTTTTGGTGGCAGGTGTCTGTCTTTCATCCCCTTGATGTAACTCTGTCTCTTTCTCCAGCCCAAGTGTATGATGACATTCGCACAGGTGGAGTCTTTGAAGAAGGTGGCCTCGAGCCCAGTCACGTCTTTGTGACAGTCCACGATGCTGTTTTGTTTGCAACCATGAATGGCAACAGAGCTACACATCGTCCTGTTTTGGGAGAGGTATGGATGATTCACCTCAGCCCACCAAACTGTGGACCTGATCACTTTAAAATGATGGCAGCATCCCATTGGTGGACATGAGGATGCTATCATGTCTAGTTTAAAAAGCCACAACACTAATTTATTAGCTCAGCAATCTTGCGAACAAAAAGAATAATCTGTTTATCATTTCTTGTAATCCTAAAGGGGACACTGTAGAACCTCAGCAATGACCACCTAAGTAGATAGTTAGGAATAAAAATTCCCAAAGAGCTAATATTTGTCCCATTTTTCCAACTGGTTTGAGTACTCCTTTGCTGGTTTTCACTTGCACACACATTATTTGGTTTCTCATAACTTTATTATCCCGTTTGATGACTTCTTGCTGAATGTGTGGCGTGATTTTTAAAAGCATTGCGCTTGAGGGGAGATGATACAAAAACTGTGTGTGTTTGCATCTGGATATCTCACTCAGATATACAAGTCACCAGTAGCATTCAGACATGCAGATTACCACTCGATGCCACAGTTGTGGTGATGAACATGCAAATCCTCCTACTCGTAATAGAGCTTATTAAATTTCAGACGTGGATGTCAACACAATAAACTAGTACAAAGGCATTTTATTTTTAAATTGTCACATCACGTGCTGAGCTCACGGGGTAGCCCTGCTCCTAGTTTCATTATCTGCATTACTCTGCTTGATAAAGGATTTGCCAGCCCAGCTTCAGCTGACATGATGATGAAAGGTCTTATCTTTGCCATATAATGATTATTTGCTTCTATGACATTTACTGAAGGTGAAACCACCTGGTTATCATTTAAATGTGGGACAAGGGACTAATTCTTTGTTCCACAGCAAAGGTGTATCTACTTCTTGAGGCTTGGTAGGAGAACAAAATGTAGGGCCCAGCCACACCATATATATAATACTTGCAGGTAAAAACATAAATGGCAGACTTTTGTGTACATTTAGATTGCTAATGTTAGCATCTCTACTCCCTCCCCTGAAAAAAAAATATGCCCAACGTAAGTAAAATCTTCCTGTATTTCTCCTAAATTTCCATTCTTGCTGTTTAAACCCATTATTTATTTATACCCTGACTCTCTCCCCTAAAGTGGGGACCTAAAGTGATTTACACTGCTCTCCTCGCCTCCGTTTTATCCTCACAACAACTCTGTGAGGGTAGGTTGGGCTGAGAGTGTGAGACTGGCGCAAGGACCCAGCGAGCTTTCATGGAAGAGTGAAGATTTGAACCTGGGTCTCCCAGATCCTAGTCTGACATTCTAAAACACCACAACACACTGGCTAAACCCATTAAACCTGAACAACTTGTAGTTTCTTTGAATTGTCATTGAAATAAAACTATGCAGAATGATTGTAGGCCTTGTTCCTACAAACTTTTTAATACCTAAGTATGAATGAGTACAAAATATATGTACAGAGCATCAGATGTGAAGGGCATGTGTCTTAAAATTCATGTATACAAGGTCTCTCCTAAGAACCTTTACTCTATGCAGAATTTTTTCATGGTGCCCGAAGCAAATGGAAATGCATTGCCAGAGCATACATATAACAAGGCCATTGCATAAATATGTCCTATGGCAGTGCCAGTACAAAATAATTTTTTTTAAATCTCATACACATGAGATACACTGTGTATGATACACATGATACACATGAGATACAGTGTATGATACACATGGTACACTCCAGCCCTCTCAGCTATAAAGGCCAGCTCCATGGATTATTTTAATAATCTATATACTAATACTGAAGTCGCCCCCTTGCGTGCGGATACCTAAAACCGCACATCGGGGGCACCTGGGGGGGGAGGGAGATTTTCGTGCACACTTGGGGCAGTCCCCAGGTGTGCACAAAAATCTGAAAATCTGAAAAAAATATCGGGGGGATACTTAAATCCCCCAAAAGGGAACGGCTTCGGCAGCGGCAACGGGAGGGGAGGAGAAGGCTGGCTGGCGGGCGAGAGACCGCGAGTCCCGGCGGCTGCAAGCCGCTCAGGCCTCGGTTCGGAGAGGGGGGGAAGGAGGTGGGTGGGGGGAGATCAAGCGGGGGGTGGAGGAGACGGGGGAACCGGCGGGATGGGGGGGAAGCTTACCTGCTCCTGCTGGTTCCTCCTCAGCCAGCTCAGTTTGGAGCTCCCCCCCGCGAGTTTCGCGGGTCCTCTTTCTTGTTTAAATATATTATGCTTTTTAGCTTGTAAATAGTAACTAGTTATTCCCTCCCTCCTCATTTTTCCATACAGAGAGCAAGTCAGATAGAAATCTCTGTCTCTGATGAGTCTCTGGAAGACAGCAGTGCTGAATTCCAAAACTTGGAAGAGGTAAGTGAAAGAAAAAGATGGTAGTAGGGAGCGAAAAGTCTGAGCCATCTTTCAGACATGCAATCTCTCCAATACATTTTTGACCAGTTTCTAATCCAGGGCACTATTCCTAACTGAGATCCCTTGTTTTTCCCCCAGGAAATGTTTGGAGGTATTTTTCATTCAGAGACCCAGACAGCACTGTGAGTTCTCCAGGAATGCTCTTAAGCAACTGAATCCTTAACTGAGGAATGCCTTTTAGGAAGAAAGGTTCCTGCATTCAAATGAAGAGGACAGTGGGCTCTGTACATTGGGGCATGGGACCATTGAGCTTTTGGGGTACCAAGGCCAAAATGCCTCTCTTACCTGACAATCTTTCCTCCTCCCATTCCTTTCTGCTTTCCAAACTCAGAGCAACTGGCTCTCAAAGCAGGTATCATGGGCAACAGAAGAAGGAACTCAGGACTAAACTTTGTCTACATAGAAGAAGCAGAAGAGCAGCAGGATTATTACTACACCTCTCTGGTCCTCAGTTGTTGCTCATTCACATTTCAAGCAATGCTTACATAGATATATGAACAGAAGCATACCGAGGGACTATTAAGCATTAGCCTTGTTCTTATGAGGAAAAATACAGGAAACATGGAGAATGCCTGCTGGAGAGCCAGGCAGATATCTCACAAAATGAAGCCACTTGGGTTTGCGAAGGGATGGTTGTTTCTAAAGTGTGCACTGACTTTAGGCCCCACACTATACGTAAAGAAATCCCTGGTAATACTGCCTATCCTTCCTCTGATTTTTAGCACTAGAACACAAAACTGTCCCTTTTTCTTTCTGGGGCTTAAGTGCAGCAGCATAATCTGTGACTTTAAGTCTCATTACCTGGAATAAGTGCCACATTTTCACACCACTGCTTAAAGAAGGGTTGCCTTCTCCATTACAAACCCCACTTTTTTCTTTTAGGGGAACCTTTCCATTCAGAGGGAAAAAAACCTATTACTTCTGGTAGGAACAATATGCATAGACAGGCTGTCATAAATGTGTTTGACATATATGGCTTGATGAAATGTACACTGAAGCCATTGGCTGAAATGGGCTTTTGAATAGTCCCTTGTGTTTAGAACTGAAAAGAAAATAACTGCTTCTACAGTATTTTGGTGCTTCATCTTCCTGTTCTCAATAACTAAACATTTACAAAATGTTCAGTTTAGGTTCATGTTGCAAAACAAACAAAGCTTCTGAAAGCACCAATTTTCTTGGACCTGTTTTCCAGTCCCATTACATATTCTGGGAAAAGGTGTACATCATGGATAGTATATTAAAAATATTTACAGCATATAACCTACTCAGAACTCAAGCTTCAAATAGATATTCAGGCTGAAGATCTTTAAACTGATCTACACAATACATCTCATTTGGTTTAGTATTTGATCCCTTTTAAGCTGTGTAACCTTTTCAAATGCTAAATGAATTTTCATTAGCATGCCACAAAGAGAATCTACCTCTCAGGCAGACAAGCCTGACTAGATAACCTAGAAACAGGTCTCTTTCGAATTTTATTTTATAAATGCAAAGTGATTTTTATATAAAAGTATGAATGATGCAAATTGCTCTTGCGTTTTTAGTTTTCTGTTTAATTTCATCTTGCAGTAGGGTTGAATTTATAAAGCCTAGGAGTCAAAGTTAAAGGTTTTATAATGAATGCAAAGCTGGATGAATATAGCCCAAGCCACAAGAAATGACAAAATGTTACTTGTAGCCCCCAAATTCAGATTTTCCTAAAATGTTTATCTGTGAACATGGGGGGGGGGGATCCCTCCAGCCATTTTCAAAGAAAATGAAGACTGAAAGGATCTTGGGGGGAAAATGAAACATTCTATTTAAATATCACATCGCAATAAATAGTGGAAAATGAAGTAGATTTGAAAGTGTATTTAATGTAGTAGGTCTGGAACTTTTAAAATACATGGTTTTGAAGGTGAAACTAAGTTTTTGTTTTATTGTTTAAAACAATCAATAAAAAACCCAAGAAAAAGTTCCTAGGAGCATGACTGACACTTCTGCAATAGTAACCTGTACAGCTGTTTCAGACATCTATTGGACATCATTGTCTGGGACAGTGTTCATAGTGAGTAACATACTCCCCTACCACCACCCATCTTGGGAGACATTTTAAAAATATTCCTACATATGGAAATCTTTTATCTAGCTGTGAACATACCCACTGTTATCATAGAGACATTCAGGGCTCTTTTTGTAGAAAAAGCCCAGCAGGAACTCATTAGCATAATAGGCCACACCCAACAGCAGGAACTCATTAGCATATTAGGCCACAACCCTGACAGCACAGCTCATTAGCATATTAGGCCACACCCCCATGTTACCAGAAGTGTGGTCATCCAGCCACACCCACCTTTTGCTTCTTATTCTGTTTACCTTGTTTGTTGTCAAAACCCAGGGCTTTTTTTTGTAGCAGGAACTCCTTTGCATGTTAGGCCACACACCCCTAATGTAACCAATCCTAATGAGTTTCTGCTGTTGGCTGTGGCCTATTATGCAATAGCCCTGGTGACATTTAAACAAAACAAAAACAAACACTATCCAACTTAAATGGTGAATAGTTACATACTCTCCTCATACCCAACTCAGTTGATCACATACACACATCAAAACACACCTACCTACAGAAAATCTTTCTTACCTTTTCCAGTAGAGGATGGGGGAGTAGGGTTGACAGCTCCAGATTGGGAAACTCCTGAAGATTTGGGGATGGTTGAATTTACAGTGAGGGAAAGAAAGGGAAATAAGGGGAAATCGCACTGTGGGAAGCCAAGCAAGGGGGGAGGGAAGGAGGAAAATTAGAAAATGGATATATTTGAAATGTTGTGGATCAAAATTATGATAATGTTGCTATATCCTTTTAATAAAAAGTTTAATTAAAAAAAAAAGATTTGGGGATGGCACCAGGAGATAGGGTTGCCAAGTGCTTTTTGAGCTGCAGCGGGGGACTCCCGGCTAGCGGCTGGAGTGTGCGCTTGCCGCACGCACGTCACCCAGAAGTGACATGATGACGCCGGGCACACTGGGGTGGGGCCACGACCATCCGAGGGAAAACCATAGAGTTTTCCCTCGGATGACCGTGGCCCCGCCCCTAGCGTGCCCGGCGTGATCACGTCACTTCTGGGTGACGTGCACGTCGGGGTGGGGTTCCCCCCAGGGCCCGATCTGCCAGTGGCGGGGAACGGGCCTCTGGGGCAGGGGATTTCACGCCCCCTGGGGGGACTTGGCAAGCCTACCTGGGGAGGACAAGAGACCTCAGTGGGGTACAGTGCCATAGAGCCCGCCCTCCAAAGCTGCCATTATCTCCATGGGACTAATCTCTGTAGTCTGAAGATGAGTTGTAATTCTGGGGGGATCCCCAGGTCCCACCTGGAGGCTGGCATCCCTACCTCATCTGCAATGTCAGTCAATACAGTGATCCAGAAGCTCTTTGCAGACTCAATGACGAAGTGAGGCAGCACACTGGCAGTTTCCCAATTCCTGTTTTTTCTTTTAAAAAGTAGGTTCATGGACCCTGAATTCAGATCAGGACCCAGGCGCAGGGGGATAGGCTTTAAGCCTTGCCTTCATGCATTTTTCCTGACCTGAAATGATTTTCAAAGCTGTTACTTACACCATTGAAGTAATGATCCAAATCAGATCCCCATATATCTGCTTTTTCAAACCAGTCTGATGAATAATTTATTTATTTATTTCATTTCTACCCCACCTTTCTCTTCAATGGGGACCCAAAATGACCTACATTGTTCCACACTCCTCCATTTTATCCTCACAATAACCCTGTGAGGCAGGTTAGGCTGAGAGTGTGTGACCTGCCCAAAGGTCACAAAGCAAGCTTCCATTGCAGAGTGAGGATTCAAACCTGGGTCTCCCAGATTCTTGTTTGATACTCTATCCACCACACCACATTGGCTCTCTAATCTGAGAGTAAATCCCATTGAACACATGTATAGGATTGGATTGAACTAATTTGCTTCCAGGAAGGGAAGGCAGCATGGTATAGCCTGATCTTGGAAGATAAGCAGGTTTGGTACCTGGAAGGGAGACCGCCATGGAAGACTCTGCAGAGTAAGGCTGTGGCAAAATGGGGACCCACCCTCAGCCCTGGGAGACTGAGCAGCCGTTCTGTGGCTCGCAAGCCCCTGTTTTTGCCTTCCCACCCTTCCTGGTGGGGCTATTTCCCTTCATTACACGCTGCCACCACTCACTGGATTGACACCGCCTTCCTAGAGGGACAGTGAGACCCCTCTGGCTGATTCCCCAACCTTGGGAAGTTGGTACCACAATCTTTGGGCTCCCCCTGGAGATTTGGGCCCGTTTGGGTTCCCTGGCCTCCATTTTGTTTCTGGTAATGTCCTGAGCGGGGATGATTAAGTGTTCAGGGTGTTCAGGGATTAAGGGTGTTCAGGGACTGGAATGACAGGTACCAGAGTGAAATGATAGCCCCAGGGTATAGAACACTCCAGCTACACCCTGGAGCTGTCATTCCACTCTTGGGCCCGTCATTCAAGTCCCTTAAAACTCCTACTACACCCTGGAGCTGTCATTCCACTCCGTGGTCTCTCATTCCAGTCCCTGAACACTCCTACTACCCCCAGGGGCTGTCATTCCACTGTGGGGCCTGTCATTCTAATCCCAGAACACTCCTGTTCCCACCAAGAGCTTTCATTTGTCTCTGGGGCCTATCATCCCAGTCCCAGAACACTCCTCCTACCCCCAGGGGCTGTGATTCCACTGTGGGGCCTGTCATCCCAGTCCCAGAACACTCCTGCTACCCCCAGGGGCTGTCATTCCACTCTGGGACCTGTCATTCCAGTTCCAGAACACTCCTGCTACCCCCAGAGGCTGTCATTCCACTCTGGGGCCTGTCATTCCAGTCTCAGAAGACTCCTGCTACCCCCAGGGGCTGTCATTCCACTCTGGGACCTGTTATTCCAGTCCCAGAAGACACCTGCTACCCCCAGGGGCTGTCATTCCAGTCCCAGAACACTCCTGCTACCCCCAGGGGCTGTGATTCCACTGTGGGGCCTGTCATTCCAGTTTCAGAACATTTCTGCTACCCCCAGAAGCTGTCATTCCACTCTGGGGCCTGTCATTCCAGTTCCAGAAGACTCCTGCTACCCCCAGGGGCTGTGATTCCACTCTGGGGCCTGTCATCCCAATAGGGCTGCCAAATGCCCCCGGGGGCGGATTTCCCCCCGCTTTGGAGGCCCGATTTCCGCCCCCGCGGAATCGGGCCGGGGGGAACCCCACCCCGGCGTGCACATCACCCGGATGTGACGTCATGACGCCGGGCACGCTGGGGTTTTCCCCTCAAATGGCTGTGGCCCCGCCCCCAGCGTGCCCAGTGTCATGACGTCACATTCAGGTGACGTGCATGCGGATGCACGGGACACCGTCCAGGAGCCCCCCGCCGCAGGAATAAACAGGTTTGGCAACCCTACATCCCAATCCCAGAATACTCCTGCTTCCCCCAGGGGCTGTCATTCCACTCTGGGGCATGTCATTCCAGTCCCAGAACACTCCTGCTACCTCTAGGGGCTTTCATTCCACTCTGGGGCCTGTCAGTTCATCCTCATAAGCCATCTGCTACCTCCAGGGATTGTTATTCCACTGTGGGTCCTGTCATTCTACCCTTGCAATTCGGCTAACAACACATCTGCTACCCCTATGGGCTGTCATTCCACTGTGGGGCCTGTCATTCCAGTCCATGTCCAGTATATTTGGGACCAGCGACCTTAATGGAAATTTCATTCTGCATTTTCTTTGCAACTCTTCTTGAGCTGTAATGTATTTCAATGGAGCCCATGCAAGTCAATTGGCAGGCTCCCATTATTTCCAATAGGCCTTCAAGTCTCTCCCATTGTTTCCAATGGGCAATCCTGTCCTTCCTTTTAGTACATCCAATCCGGAACTACAGGCCACTTACCCTTATGGGGAACCATTTTAAACACCAACTACAGACAGCATCCATCTTACACACCCAGGTAAATGCCATTTCGTTACAAAGGCAATGGCAACCCACCTCTGCTTCTCATTTGCCTTGGAAGCCCCTTGCTGGGGTCACCATAAATCGGCTGTGACTTGACAGCACTTTACACACACATTTGTTTCCAGCACTGCACTGAAGTGTGTTGCTTCTTTGTCCAAATGTGCACTGAAGAGATCCTTTGTGCTGGACAGAGACTAACCCAGTCATTCCAAAATCATTATTAACATATTGTAACATATTGCTGGTGATCACAAAGTCCAAACAGTCATTTAAGCCTGTCACAGCAAACACACATCAATACAATACAGTCTTATGGCACCTTAAAGTCTAATGTTCATTATGGCATAAACGTCTGTGGACTAAAGTCCACCTCAGCAGATATTTGAGGTGTGTCCTTAGATAGCAGACACGCATACACACAGGTCTTTTACCACATATAACCACATTAACATATTTCTCTCTCACCCCTCTTTTGTAAACACTTTAGGTGGTTCTGATCTACATCTGTTTGCACTGCTCGGACATTCCTTTTCTGTATTTAGCTGCATGCAGAATTGCAATGAAAATCCTCATGGATACTGAGCCACAGAAATCTTTCATCTCCTAGATCTTCCCATCCACATGCATGGGTTGTTCTTTTCTGTCTCCCTACTTCAACTGTTCACGAACATCAGTAGGGATATTGCTCTCCTTTAACAACCAGCAGTCAAATTCTGATGGCCCTGTACCACGGCTTCCCTGTCGCACTGCTATTAAGCAGCAAATCCGCTGATTATCCCACCATTCCCCTGCACCCCAAACTCCAAGCTCTCCCTCCCAAATTTAGATTTCCCCCTCTCCCACCACATGTTGAGAAATTGTGCTAATTATTAGTAGCATTATAGTTCAAACTATTTTAAAGGCAACTGCAGCAGCTATAGCTATACTGCTCAGGAGTAACAGACCAGGAACACTGTAATGAACAGGTGTAATAGAAGATAATTTTCTACAGAATTACTATAGTAAATGATTTTGCCACATATCTTTATTGACTCTTTGTCATTTTTGTCACGGATGTTGGATTTCCTCAACCTCCAAGTGGAGCCTGGAGTTCTCCTGGAACCACAACTGATCTCTATATGACTGAGATCAGTTCCCCTGGAAAACATGGTTGTTTTGGAGGTAGGGTTGCCAGCCTCCAGGTGGGGCCTGAGATCTCCCGCTTTTACAACTCCTCTCCAGCTGACAGAGATCAGCTCCCCTGGAGAAAATGGCTGCTTTGAAGGGTGGACTCTATGGTGCTGTACCATGCTGAGGTCTCTCCCCTCCCCAAACCCCGACCTCTCCTGGCTCCACCCCCAAAGTCTCCAGGTATTTTCCAATCTGGCAACCCTATTTGGAGGGTGGCCTTTATGACATCGCATTCCTGAGCTCCCTCCCCAAAATCTTCCTTCCTAGGCTCTGCCCCCAAATCACCAGGAATTTCCCAACCTAGAGCTGGCAATCCTAAAAGGAAGACTCTACCGGAAGAGAGTACCGCAAAGACAGTGCACACTATAAAAATTCGGCTTCTATTCCAGAGAGGGGAGGAGGGGCCAGAATATGAAGTCTGGCGTATCCCTGTGATGAATAACCAGTTCCTTTTGTCTGAGTCCAGTGGCACCTTTAAGACCAACAAAGTTTTATTCAAGGTATAAGCTTTCCTGTGCAAAGCAGACTTCTTCACTGTATCTGAGCTGGAATCAAACTTTGTGCTGCTGCTTCAGACCAACAGGGTTACCCACTCGAATGTCAGCTCCTTTTTGTTGTTGTTGTTGTTCAGTGGGTCGCACAGTCGAGTCCGACTCTTCGCTACCCCATGGGTCAGTTCCTTTAATGATTAGCAAAAAGAGGCTTCTTCCTGGTCAGGCCCCCAGCGACGGCTGTCAGAGCGCGAAGTCAGCAGCAGTCAGAGCGAAGTAAAATGGCGGCGCTTAGCCCCCGGTTGCGAACGGCGCTGTGCGTTGCTCTCCTGTTGTTGTGCGCAGTGACAGTCGTCCTCTTGGTCGTGCTGCTTGCTCGAGCTTACTCCATGAAGCCTGCTGTGCCAGCTCCTGAGATCTGGGATCGGGAGGGGGAGCGGCGCGTAGAGGCTGCGTTTAGCCCCCAGGAGCGACGGGACCTTAAAGAGGCACTGAAAGGTAACGCGGGAGTGGGGGGCCGAAAAGGAGCACCTTCTCAACGCCGCTGTCAGGCAGAAACTGGTGCCACAGCCTCAGGCCATTTCTGCACGAGTTTTCGCCTTGCTTAAGTCCCGCGCAAGTTCATTATTTATCTTCCAACATGAGGACGTGCATGGAAGAAAACGAACACTCGCGTGAAGAGGAGAATGGTGAACTTCGCAAGGCTTTGTCACTGATGTGGAAATCAAAAGATGTTGATGATAATCATTATCAACATTGTCATCTTAAAAAGTGTCCACAGTTCCCCACATAGCTTCCATTCAGTTGCCATAACGGCATGCTTTTTTAAAAAAATCTTGCTTATGACGTGTTGTGTTCATTGTCTTGGATGTACTCTCTCAACTTGAGAGATTCTCATTTATCTGTAAAACAGGGTTGGGAAATTCCTCTAGATTTGGGGGATGGATCCTGGGGAGAGTTGAGTTTGGGGGTGAGATCTCAGTGGGGTATAATGTCATACAGTCTGTCCTCCAAAGCTGCCATTTTCTCCAGGGAAATTTATCCTCTGAAGATCAGTTGAATTCCAGGAGCTCTTCAGCCATCACCTGGAAATTGGCAGCCCTAAAAGTAGGATAGAGCCAATCTTCTAAATATTTCGTTCCCTCGCAGATTTTTTTTACATGTGATGTAATTTTTTACATGTGATAATTTACATGCCCGTTTGCTCTAGATGGGAAAACAACAATACCATCTGCCTCTCTTCCTCCTCCTCTTTCACATGTCCATGCATGCATGCTTGCTCTGGAGAGGAAAGGAACACACTACTCTCCCCGTGCATCAAACCTGCTATTTTCTCATCCCAATAAACCTGGTCATTGCCCATGGGTATCACAACCACTGGCAGGAGGAAAGTGGGGGAAATGGGGTGTGTGATGCCAGCACACAAACCAGAAGTGATATCGTGATGGGGGTGCACTAGGATTTCCCAAGAACTCTGTGGTTTAACTAGAGTTTTTCTGAATACTAGAGCCCCCCAAATTATGACATCACAACTAGTTTTTGACAGAAGTGACATCAGCACACCTGAGTGATACAAGTGTGCCTGTCCTCTCCCCCTTCCACTCATGGGGGTTGCAGACTTTGGCCAGGCAACCCTAGAAAATAGAAGAACTGTATATTTTCCCTCACAGAGTAAGTTATGGGGGTGGGCTTTGGGAATACAGCACTAGAAAAGTTTCCCCACCTGAGCACTGCAGACCTCCTCTTTTGCACAAGTTGCCATTTTGTAACTTACCCCATCCACCAAGCTACCATATTGTGACTTATAGCTCCCAAATAGCTTCCAGAAACATAAAGTGTATCTTCCTTTTCACCAACTATGATTAAAATGTCATTACCTAATATAGCTCAAGATGGGTAGCCCTGTTACTCTGTCTGTACCAGTAGAAAAGAGTAAGAGTCCAGTAGCACTGTCCTGTCTAGCGTGAGCTGCAGCTGGCGCAAATGCTTTCCAGGTGTGAGTCAACGCACAGCCACTGAAGAGAGTTTAAATCGTCTTTATTTAACTTCACAGGCATTCAGTAGATCATTCACTCACAATCCAGCTGATAGCTGTATAGAGCGTTACATCTTTCTGATCTAGGTCAATTCTATGGCCGTGGTGAGAAAAGAGATGGGCTTCCCCTCTCCTTGCAGTAAGGGTTGATGGACAAAGAAACGGAAAAGAACAATAAAACTCCTATCTTTGCGCCTCTGAGCTCAGGAAATTACTCTTAATGAGCCAGTCAGAGGGAAGCTTCTGGGACCCCTAATTGTGAACTCCAATTCCCAGGTGCAACTACTCTT